CATTTTGATAAAGTCTGGGCAGATTTTCTGATGTCCATTTTGCTGTAGTAGGATAGCATCAACCAAACTTTCAGATCTGTTCTGAACTCTGGCGTAACTGTGTTTGTGGGTTTTGTGGGCCATGTTTTCTATGTGTCTTGTTATATTTTAAAGCAATAATCCAATACTTCACAGAAGGCTGCATGTTACAGTGATTTTACCACAATTGAGGGGTGCTGTTAGGCCAACTCGAAGCATAACGCATGGCCTTGAATGGCTTATAATTTTATAAAATGGCAACAAAAGCGTAGGCAATTTAATGGAATACCTCAATTTTAATTAATTAATAAATAATGATTATTCCATAAATAGTATAATTTTACTGTCTTGCATTCATGCAGGATTCACTTGATGTATGAGTCATATGTATAAACATGGTTGGAGAATTTAAAACCAGAACTGTTTTATTATGATCAACTAAAGAGATGACAAAACGCAACTACTAGTCAAACAGAATTTGTCTGATAGTTCCAAAAACATCCTCTTATTATCCTTAGGAATAACACAGGCTGTTTTTGTTATGACACCTTTATACACCTTTAAGACTGATATATGTAAATGTTCTCTCTTATGATTGGTTGCCCTATTTTGCACCTCAAAATTACAGAATGAATTGTGAACATATAGAGATAGAGGTTCACAACAATGATGGTTCATTCTGTGTTTGGTCCATATAGACATCAATGGTTCATATTATGCTCTTACTTCAAACAAATCACAACAGAGTGTTTTTTTTGTGAACAGAGATCTCCTTTGTTTGCACACCAGGGTTCAAATAGCAGCATCTTCACTTGTTCCAACAAATTACATTTGTAGACCAATTTCACCATGATTCACTTTAGTCAAACCGAACCAGACCCGTGTGAACACACCCTGAGATGTTTATTTTTATCTGCGCTGTCTGTGATGATTGTACATGCAAACGACAGAGGCTGTCTAAAAGCATGAATTAGCAGCTGTTTTTGGAGTTTCTTGCAGTGTCTTTGTATGTGTGTGTTTGTGTGAGTGTGTGTCTATGGTTGTCAAGTTTCAATATCTGCGTCATAGGCAAGATCCGAGTTGTCATGGCTGCGGAGAAAGTGGTGGTGTAGTTGATTTTTTTTTTCTGGGATCAGTATATTTGGGAGATGGAAGTGGACATGTTCACTGAAATCTCTCCTAACAGTGTCATACACAGTGCCCTACACTGTGATGCCTTGAATTTACTTGCTTCAAATGTGTTCCAGATTTCCCCATGAATAAAATATTATATCAACACAGCTATTGCAATAAATTAAACAAAAGACAAAATTCTGTTGCTATAATATATATTATTCATGTTGAATGGTGTACACATTCAGATCAAGTAAAATCAATGCATCACTTCTTTCAGTAGCAGCACCCAGTTTGCCTGACCCGTTTGAATAGTCAGATGGGTTTAAACATCAAGCTGTGTTGGTGTGTGTGCGTGTGTGTGACGTCTTGTATCCTCAAATACACTGTACAGACTGAGCTTAATGATAACCACAGCAGAACACTTTGATGAGGAGTAGAAAACGGCTGGCCTCGGGCTCCCTAATAAAACCCGTTCTTAGCAATATCCCCTTCTTTGGTGTGTATTTGTGTGTGTGTGCGCACTGTGCCTGGGAGAATTGTCTGTGCTAATATAGTCAGTGCAGCTGGCAGACTCTGAACCAGCCATTTTCCTCTTTTTGTTTTCTGTGTGTGTGTACGTGTGTTTGATTGTTATAGGTCATTCTGCCATTGCAGTGACAATAGTAGAATGAGCTTGAAATGAGCTTAAAATAAGAATAAATCACAGATTGTTTATATCTGTGTTTGTTCTATGTTCTATCCTAAATTAATCAATGAAAAACAACATTTATTCTTCTTGAATTTCAGCGAGTCATGTTGTGCATAAAACATATCACAGCAGTTTTATTTTTATTATGTGAAAATGATTGTCCTATGTTAAAATGATTTAAATCTATAAATATAATTTTACTTTGATAACAAACCTTGTTCCAATATTCTTTTTGCCAGTCATTTACAGATTTACAGAAGCATAAAATAAAGGTCTTTTCATTACACTTAAATACTGATGACTTCATGGTAGTGTTGCAGTACTCAAGTCCAGTCTCGGTCTCGATAATGTAAAGTAACGCTCTCAGTCTTGTCTTAGTCTGAGGGTGAGGTGGACGTCTAAGGTTATTGGAAGCTGAACTTTATCATTATTGAAAATCAACAATATTCTATAATAATAAAACTGTCCTTTCTCTATATATTTAAATAAAATCTGTTGATCGTTTCCATGATGGCTTAGCGGGGTGATATTTGTTTGATGATGTTGACAAACATCCCCTGAGGGCAGATGGGACTGTTATTATTAGGAAAATGGATGTATATTCAGTTGACTTAAGATGATGATTCTGAATAGGTTACAATGCAAAGTTGGACTAAGACTATAATAAAATAATTAATATTTTGAAGCTATGTATTATTTAATATTAATGTATTTTACAAAATATATTTTAAAGTACGAAGACAGGATGTGTAATGTTTTACTTCATCGGCTTCATTGTTTTTTTGTAAATAACAAAAACGTACCACATTTGCCACTGAAATGGTAGAATGACCCATATTTGATCTGTGTCATGGCCTTTGGCTTTGTTTCAGTTTGTGTGTGCGTGTGAGTTCTTGGATGGTATAGTACTTTTGAAAATGCAAAAATGGAACATCATGAAATTAGGAAGTAATTTTTTGCAGAATTCATATTCTAAAGAACAAAAAGACTTTAAGAAAAAAAACTTTATGAAAAAACTAAGGAAAACCAACCTCTCGTTTACTTCTTTACTATAATCAAATGAAAAGCAATTAAATAAGAAAAAAATTGCAACCACTTCATCATTTTTCAGTCAATCTGAAAAAAGTTACGTCTGAAAATTGAACCAATAAGCATTACACAGACAGCATATGTTAAACTTTAACTGTCAAAGTCTGACACCTCTTGCGTACACAAGAGCTCCAAAAATGCCATCGGCATCTTCACGTTTTGGTTTTGGCCTTTCTGCATTCAGCTTCCATTCAGAGCAGACAGATAGACTGGTTCTCTATGATTCATATCCTGTATGTAGTTGATGATTCTGCCTGAGACGTTATTGGTTATTCTGCGTCTCTGGGTTCTCCTGCTCTAAATCTGTTTGAATGAAAGTGCAGAACTAGCATAGTAACAGCTCAGTGACTCACCAGCACCACAAGGAGAAGAGCATAAAACTAGGTCTGGATTATACACACTGGACCAAACTGAATGCTGGACTTAGAACTTCAAGTTCCTTAAGATTTCTGAACCTATTGAGAATCAGAATTGCTTTGTTGTTTAATTAACTCTGTCTTACTGAATGTCTCTGTCTGAGACTTTGCCTTTGTCCTGTTTAACTCGATAGATTAAAATCTACTCCCAGAGTAGTGGGAACACATACATGGTCACATTGGACATGGCAAAATGTATCAACATGTGGAGTTGGCACTTCCTGTGTGCTAGTGTGTTTTGTATATGTAAACGAAGCACAAAGCTGCATTCATTTGTTGGACTGCAATAGTTTCCGCACACATATTCAGATCAGAATTCAACAACAAATTGGTGTTTTAACCCCTTAATGGCCATCAGCAGGCCCCAAGTTTTATTACATACTCTTATATCACCTCACAGCAAGAAGGTCCTGGGTTTGCTTCCCCTTTAAAGATGCTAAATTGCCCCTGGGTGTGTGTGGGCGTGTGTGTGGGTGTCTGTGGGTGTGTGTGGGCGTGTGTGGATGTGTGTGGATGTGTGTGTGAAAATATGTATATCTGCCCTGTGATGGACTGAATGAAAGAATGTTTAAGGGGTTAATTTATAAAAAAAAATTATCAGGCTGCCTTAAAATTTTGAGTTACCTAGACTTGAAATATGTATGAAAATATATTTGAAATAAATCTCTCTGACACAAACAAAATAAAAGTCCACAAATGTTCCACTTTGTTAGATGATTTTTTTCACATAGGAAATAAACGTGACAACAGTACTGAGCACTCATATCATTAAAGGAGAAGAGCAGATTGAAAGGCAGCGATGGCTGCTTTTTGGCCTCTTCGTTAAAGGGTTAATTTGGCTATTGCTGTTTTTGCAGGCCATCTGGTAACAGCCTTTTCATCCAAATGTTTTCATCCAAATAAGCATACTGTTGAGCTGTAATTAATGTGTTTCCTTATTAATTCGTGTTCTTATGTTTTTCATATGTATTGTGGCGTGACGTGCTGATGATGGTCTCAGATCTGGGGTGTCCTAATTTACTGAAATTTTTAATGGCTGTGTGGGGGATGGTCTTATTCTGAGAATGGCAGTGGGCGTTGGGTTTCCGTGGAGATTTGACTGCAGCATTGAGCTCCTTGTGCCGGTTCCTTTCGCTGTCTGGGTCAGAACAGACAGAAGAGAGAGACAGACCACCTCAGGCGAGACCTCTTTGGGCCAGTATTTATAAGCCTCTCACAGCAGGAAATCAGCCGCAGCTGCTAGAAGGTTCAGAGTGTAATGGAAATTGTCATTTTTCCCAATTGCCAATCGACCTTGTCTCTCTAAAGTGGTGACTTTATAGGAGAAGGGAAGGCACTTTTTTGTTGTAAGTTAATGTAAAAAGATTCAAAGTTGTTTTGAGCCATCTCTGTAGGTCCATTCATCATGAAATGTTCACACAACATAAAAGGCAGCTGCTGCGCTCAAATAATGTAGACAAACTAATCTAAAAAAATAAATAGTTACATGATTCTGACAGCGACTATAAGCACTTATGTGTGTGGCCTGCTGTCTCTCTTGGCAGTTATCGCTCGTGTACTTTTAGACACATTCAGCCATTAGTCCCAATTTGAGTTGTCATAGCGACAGACTACTGCAGACTAGGATGGTAGAAATAACTATCTGTGTGTGTGTGTGTGTGGTCTCTCTGCAGGGCTCTGTTTGACTATGAGCGGTCGAAGGACAGTGGCTTGCCCAGTCAGGGTCTCAGTTTCCGTTATGGAGACATCCTGCATGTCATTAACGCATCTGATGACGAGTGGTGGCAGGCGCGGAGAGTCACTCCAGACGGAGACAGCGAGGAGATGGGCGTCATCCCCAGCAAGAGGAGGTATGGACTATCACAGGAAGACATTTTTGTAAACTAAATATGAAATCACGCATCAATTTAACATGTTTTGTTATTTTATGTACAGTAATAACTTATACATGTTGATCAGTATTTTACAAAAGACTAATTACTTCTCTTAATTTCTTTACTTCTTGCTTCTTGAAACAAATAATCTCACTACTCATTACTTCTGTGTTACTATCTAAAACCTACACAGCTGCACAAACCTGTCCTTTCAGTACTTTATTCAGAAAGAAATCACAGTAAACATCATTTAAAATTCATAACATGTTATGAATGTGTTTATAGATGCTTATAAAGGTGACATTCATAGAAAGTGTTACCATAAAATTTTCTTGAAATATACTGTACCAAAGTTTTAGGCAATAAGTAAATTAGAATTAAAAGATGTTTATCTGGACCATAAACATTTATTTGCTTAGAAAAACAATAATATTAGAATAAACACACACACACACACACACACATTATCTAAGCTGCTTTTTGTCCTGGGTCATGGGGGGTGCTGGAGCCTATCCTAGCGGTCATTGGGCAGAAGGCAGGAAACATCCTGGACAGGTTGCTTGTCCATCACAGAGAATAAATACAAAGAACATTTACTGATTAATTGATTTACTCTTTTTCCATTTTTATTGACACACTGTCTTGGTGCTAATTGTTTCCAGTGCATCAAGATGTAATTAAACCCTTTTAATCCCAGGCTTGTTACATACTAAGGCTAATTATTCTGTAGATACAGGTACTTCAGTGCAAACTGGTTGAGCTTTTCTTAGGTTATAGAAGTGCGTAATGAAACTTTGGGCCCACCAGTAGACCCTTTTAAGGGGTTAATATGATATAATTTTACACTAAAACATATAAAGTAAAATGCAGTACAATAAAAAGTGTCAATGTTTGTTAAAACCATTTCCAAACCAATCCTCATGGCATCCAGGTATTGTTTGTAGTTATCATCCATCACCTGGTTTGGCAAAACTGTATTTTATTATGTTAAATTGTGTGCAGATGGTGGATTTGAATACATCTATGTGATAGCTAGGGGAGACATCTGGAACTAGACTTTGTTCTTCAAACTAGCGCACAATATCTCAACCACTTTTTTTTTTAAATAAGGAATTCTTGTTCATTTTTACTGTATTTATGGGTTACGCATACATTAATGTTTATAATACATATATTCTAATGATAATAAATAAAGTAATAAATATTTTTAAACAGTGTGCTTAGGTATATATATTACTGTATATATACAGTGTTGTGCTATCTGAGAAACTGCAAAGGCAGCTGAGAAAATTATATACAAAGCTATTTATATACATAATATTTTGTACTGCATTCAATAATATGTATTATATATCATATTTGAACTGCTTGTGTGGGTTTGAGAAGGGTATAACCTCTCTATAACCCTCTCTCTCTCTCTCTTGTGCGCACTTTCTCTGTGTGGCAGGGTGGAGAGGAAAGAGCGAGCCCGTCTGAAGACAGTCAAGTTCAACGCGAAGCCTGGCAGCATTGACTCTAAAGGGGTGAGTACTGAACTCTGCCACTTATCTGTTAATAATAATGCCACTGGTCTTGTTGAAAGGGGGAAAGATTTATCAGTGCCAATACGCAACTGTTACACTTTACAAACTTTATTCACCAGCTAGAGATGGTCAGCTATTAAGACCAGACTACAAGAAAGCAGCCCTCTGAGTGGCATCCAATTTGACATGTCACTTTAGATTCAGTCTTTTTACTCTGTCCAGTCTATCTGGTTTAAGATCAGTTCTCCTCCGCCATCTCACATTTACTTTTCCACTCTGAGTATAATTGATGGCTGGTCAGTCACTCAAGCACACACGCAATCGTTCTCTCGAGATTTGCAGCACACTTTGTACTTCCGGCAGCACAGCAGGAGTACTCACAGCTCAGTGTAATATCAGGCCTGAAATTCTTTCACTTTTTCTCCTTAAATTCATTAGAATCACAGAAAGAATGCAATTGTGCATATTACATTATTACACGAATGATCAAAATGTGGTAAATCTAGCACTGGTCATGTGCACTGGGTTGTAATCAAGACCGCAGCGCTGTTCACATGCTGAATACATTTTCAGCCGGATTTTATACCGTCCTCGTGTTATGTTAAATGTATCCATAGCAACAGCTTAGCCAGGCCCCACTATCTTTCTCATGGTTTCTTAAGCTGCCTCTGTTGTCTTTTCTCTGGCAACAGTAGTGATGCTGGTGTAGGCAGAGCCTGTAAAATTGGCACTGAGAAATCAATTCAGGGCTTAAATAGCCCGAAATGCCAGCTGGAAAATGATCTACATACTTTATTGTAAATTGTCGGATTGTCACTGTTTGAAAATATGTTTAACATCATATGAGCTATGCTGTTGCTGTAAAGGCTCTTAAAGTGAATGTGTATGTGTAGGTTTACTGCCATCAGGATTCAGTCAGATACAGTTTGTATACAGTCTAGAACTGAGCGTAATCTTCATCTGGCAATTTTTTAACACACTGAAGCAGATGTGGATGTGCATGTACAACAAAACATATATTTCAGAAAAAAGTAATACATAGAATACTAAAGGATGAAGCTTCACATGTATAACACTAACACATTCCCAGATCAGCTCTATACTCCTTGTTTATTCTCTATTATATCCTTATTTGAAGGCTGCCTTTACAGGGACTGCATAACACATGCATAAGCGTTGAATGATGCATTAATAAAGCAATACTTGAGTATTTATGAACAGCTTATCCCACTAATTACAAGATGACATAAGATGATTTATGTAGTAAGTGACATTGTTTTGACAGAGAGGGCCTTAAACAAAAGTGACAGAGCTGTTATTTCCATTTATAACACTAATGAATTAGCATTCCCAAGTAAAGGAACTTATATCTAGGCAGAGGTCTAGTTAAGAACACCATCAGTTCTATATACTTCTACCTGAATTACAGTGCAAAAGCACAATTTCTACCTGTTTGGCTGTTATGACATGCACAGCTAACACTGCCACACAGGTCTTTTTAACAAAAAATATTCATTAAAAATATAGTATGTTTTTGATATGTAAGTACATTTGAAATCAAGTCATGTCGTACTTTTGTACTCAGGTAGAAATACAGACAGAGAACGTCTAAAATATTTACTCAAGTAATATTTTAATAAGAATATTTCTACGTTCACTGAAGTACAGAATGTATTTGTATATTCATATATCGTATCAGAAAATATTTATGAACATAAAAGTCTAAGGGCATCAGAATCTTTAATTTAACTGATATATGATGTTTTTAACTTGGCCTCTACCTTAAGTTCCATTGCTTGTGAATAATGCTTTATAACAGTGTCATAAATGGAAGAAATCTGCATCACTTTGGTTTAAGGGCCGGTCTGTCAACACAATGTCACAAACCTCTTATGTCATTGTGCAGTTCCTGACATAAGCTGTTTATCAACATTCAGGTATTGCTTTATGAGTACGTTAAATACATAAAGGTAGCCTTCAAATAAAGTGTTACCGAATATACTGAAGAGCAGTGTTCATAAAGCTGTGTGACACCAACATGAGCCTTTCATGAAAACTGACATACACATTTATAAAGGCTTTTTTCCAACAAGCATCAGTTGTCATAACTGAAATGACATCAGACTGGACAAAAGCAGCCTTTATGACAATTGACACTTGGTGAAATAAGCCTTTATAAAAGTTTACATAGATTTATGTCAGTTGTCATGAAGGGCTTATGTAGGTGTCATGTAGCCTTATGAAGCTGTCCCTCAGTAAAGTGTTACCGAGAATATTATCCAAAATATTCTCAGTTTTGTAACATGCCTATTTCTTAATGTCAGCTAGATAGATGGATAAACATACCCCGCACTTGTACTGTAGCCCATCCCAGCATATCAGCTGTGCGGTTTATTTTGCTGTCGTTCAGCTTGATGCTGTGTCGAGCCCCAAAGCCTCTCACTGTCCTGCATGCTTGATTTCTTTATTCAAGTTGTTTTCGTGTGTTATCTGTCTATCTCAGCATGGCTCTACTCCCCACTGCTGCATGGCTGGAAACAAGCTTCAGGCCTCTTCTGTTCTTCGTTAAATGTTCTGTTCTGCGTTTGATCATGTTGTTTTGATTTCTGTCCATTTGACTTGTCTGAGAAGTCAGCCGGGACAGAGGTGGTGTGGACAGCAGCGGTGGTGGTGACAACTTTCCATTCAATGAGCTATTCCAAATGCTGGCATATTTACAGAGAAAATAATAAGGTGGTAGATCTGTCTCCACCTCCAATATTAGAGCCTGTTAACAAGAAATTGACTCTACATTCTATGAAGCTCCTCCCACAAATGCATTCTACAGTGTGATTAAATGTTTATTTTATTTTTTTATTCTGTATGCATATGGAATTTTAGATAAGATGAATGGGGTGTAGTTTTTCCTTGTGTAATCGAGGTTTTTAGGGATGTGTAATTGTTTGATATTCAGCAAGTGAACATTTGTATATATTTTATTGTGTTTAAATGTTATTTTTATCATGGCAGTTGTACACAATGTTTTGATATAAAAAGCTACAGTTGTGCTGTTTATCTCGGCATGGCGTGAGTTGTTTTCACAGCAGGGTGTTCTTACTCCTCTCCCTTTGACCCCTCATTGCTTGCTAGCAACTCAACACAGTGTCACAACATTTTCCACACAGAGACTTAACACCATCCTAGTAAATCTAAAAACTGAGTAACAGAGAAAAACTATTTTATTTGATTACATTATAAAATGAATTAAAAATATCAGTCTTTTTTGGCCATTGTCAGTTAGGGGGCATTCAGATTGAGGCTATCATCTCATTTTTGTGCATTCTTTCTTAGTAGCTGTTGCAAGTTTGTTAAAGCTTTACACAACATTGTCAGGTAACAGAAGTTTAGAGTTTAGAATTGCTACTCTTCCAGTTTAAAATGTACTACTGAGCTGGACTGTGTTGGGGTAGCTAATCAAATCTAGGCAGATTGATTGGAAATGACTGACAATCAATTACTCAACAAACTACTTCCATATTCTAAAAGTGTGTATACATACTGAATATCATTTAGAATGAATAATGCATTCTAACATATTATAAAAATCTTGTTAGGTTGAATGTGATTTCTGACAGAGTTCTGTAGCTTGTCCAGCCTACCAACAGTAGCTACGACAGAACGCATTTGTGGCAGAAGCAGGTATAGGACATTTGGATCCCATTGCAGTACAGAAACAGGCATCAAAACAGGCTACAAGTATTTGGACTGTTCTGCCGTGGCTGCTGTCTTTCCCACCTCTCTCTGAGCGATGTTGTTTTGTCAGCATGTGCGTGTGTGACGGCATCTCGAGCCCCCTGTCTGCCCCATGCTCTCTCTCCCACACAGTCATTCAGTGACAAACGTAGAAAGAACTTCATCTTTTCACGAAAGTTCCCTTTCTACAAGAACAAGGAGCTGGACGAGCAAGACGGCAGTGACTCGGAACGTAAGTAGCTGTGCACTCAGTCGCACATGCAACACACACCTTGGGTAGGGTGAAAGGTGTAGGAGTATGTAGGGAATCCAGGGATGCTCTGTGCTCTGTTCTACGCCCTCCCTCTAACTTTGCTGCTGCGCCTATTCTTCTTCCCTTCCCTTCTCTCTCTCTATTTCTATCCTCTCTGCCTCTCTCTCTCTGATCCCCCCCTTACTCCATTTCTGTGGACGGCTGTCTGATGTAGGACATCTCTGGAATAGGGGACGACGGGTATGGGACAAAGACGCTGAGTAAGTCTCTGCAGGAATGGTCCCGCTTTTGACACCTCCCCCCTCCCCTCCAGAACACTTTTTATGCGTTCGGCTCTGTCTCTTTCTGTTGCGTCAGTAACACCTGCAAGTCTGTAGGGACGGTTGGCATGGAGGTGTAGGGTTCAAGACTGAATGGTTGCTTTCAGTCCCAGGTCTACCCATTTATTCATTTCCCTGAGTATGTCTTTGCTGTCACTGCATGACAATAAACTAGCACCCACTTTGTTTTGAAATCTGCTTCTTTGTCAAGCACTTTGTCCTTGGAGAGATCTAATGTTATCTAATGATACTGTCTCATGTTCAACCCTTTGAGAAGTTGTAGTTATAACCTGCGACACTAATGGCATGTTATATTTTTGTATTAATTACTTTTCCTTCATCAAATATAATGAAAAGTGCTCTCCCCTGCCCCCATGTTAAGGGTCAACTAAAATGTAATAATGCTTTTATGTCAATATTTTGTGTTATCAGATATTGGCTACTCATAAATAATGAAGTATTGCTTTTTAAATACATTCTGTGCTTGTGCACATTTTATAAAGGTAGGCTTCAAAATAATGTTATCATACTTGTCATGATATTGTCATTTTTTTTTACATCTATACAAATGGAAAAGTCTCAGATGTTATTATGTCATTATTTATTTATGTAGTTACATTCAAATAATTATCTTATGTAAATCGAATGTATAGCAAAACAACAATGCTAACTCCAGACCTCTAAGAGTTATAAAGGAATTTCATAGATTTTCCAAAATTTCTGTATAATTTAATTGCTGTGACGTAAACAAAGTCATTCAGAGTGTATTGATGTGAAATAATGTGCTGTAGTGAAACTTACGGACTCACGGACGTACAGATTTCTTTATAACAGCAATGATTGGAACCAGGGATTGCTATGTCTACATCACAAATATTACCATTTTATCTATTATTTAAAATGACCAGTGAACTTTGACGTGTCTACTGCGTTTTCATATGTAATGTTGATCATGGTAAAATAATGGTAAATCTGAAAAAGAAAAAAAAAATTGGATGCTATTTTGCCTTACAACACCCTGTATGTACCTCTCCACCATGAGTGCTTTTTCAAAAAAGGCTAAAACCTCAAAACTGTCTTAAATTTGTGTCTCAGGTATCAGGCAGCATATTCATATGCATTTCATGTAATGGCTTTATGTGAGGTAGCTTTTAGAGGCACATCCTTCTGACATCTAGTTTCTCTCTAATAAGTTTCTCTAGGCTTGGGCTTTTCACATTAACCTGCTCTGATGACATCTTAACGCTTTTCCTTAAGCGGATATTCGGAAAAATTTGTGGAATTCTTGTTAAATATGTAACATATAGCCCTTTCATTTCAGTATCATATAATGTTCTCTCCAAATTCTGTTGACCTGAGACAAGGACAAGTATTTGCTTTCTAGCCTCTCTTACTCACCAACTAAAACTCTACTAACACCCTGCTTCCTGCGCTGAGTGCATTCTGACAGTATTAATAGAACTGCACAGTTGTCACGTCTGGGGCTCACAGGATGGGGGGAGCCATTAAAAAAGTTCTTGCACTTTTCAGCCTTATGAGTGTTTCATCGACCCATTCTGAAACCACAGGGAGTCTAAAGGGGACGTTTAGGGCTCCAGTAAGTTACTCTGTTCACTTTATGAAATCGGATCGTTTCAAATCAGATGTTATTGCTCCATAGCTCATAACTCTAAATGCCATCTATAAGCTAGAAATATAGTCACCTCAAAAGCTTTTGATATTTGTATTAAAAAACACATCTGGCAGAATGCGTTTTTACTGCATGCTGAAATTGAAAGGAAAAGCAGGTGCTGAATGATCTGATGTGTGGACTCTGGGCACTCTGGGAGTTCACTGTCAGAATCTGTCATAACTTTCTCTGAGGCTAGTTTGCCTCGAGCTGTGAGACAGGCAGTAGAGAGGAGAGACAGTAAAGGCAACGGCTAACAGGATGGAGTGACAGACAGTGGTGGGATTTTGAGGACATATTTAAAATACTAGATAAGCTCCGTTGTGGAATTTCTGGGCTAGTAACTATAACTGATAATTAACACCTTGTTACTGCTGATATCAATGACCAGTACTCTTTTGGTTATTTTTAAACAACTGTAATCCATACATACATTGCAATGAATGTGACAAGTTAAAACTTTAAAATGATAAAGCAATAAAAATCAAACCTGCAGTCCTCTGTGGGTGAGAGACTGGTATTATGAGTTACAAAGAATAGAAATGTCCGCTGTACTCGAATCTGGCATGCATCAGTTTAAAACAGCGTTATGTTAACATGAGGCAAATTATTGTTTATAATGTTAAGGTGTAATTCTAATATTGAACCTGTGATAATCATTAAATTTTCCCATTTATTGTAGAATAAGATATCGTTCACAGACACCACACTCAATTTATTTACTTTCCAGTCAAATCAGCCATTAAGTAAGTTATTCTATTTTCAGGAGGTATTTCTGAGAAAATTAATCATAAGATAATCTACTTGCATAAGGAAGAAAAATGTCAAGGGAAAATATGTGACAAAAACATCTTCCAAAACTAGAGAGAATTAAAGGATATGTATTAAAATGTGTTAAAAGTGAAAATGAGACTCCTAACAACTATGCAAGACCTGGTAGACCCCAAAACTGTCACCAGATCATCATCAGATAAACAGAGCTTTCATCTTTCAGAGAGGGGAGAAAACCAAGCTCCACTCTTGCTTCAGATCTGAAAAAGACGTTTCTGTCCATCCTTCCACTGTGAGAAGACAACTCAACACTACGAGTCTGAAAGGATGTGTAGCTGTCAAGAAGCCTCATTAAGAAAAAGAAATTTGAGGAAAATTTGCAAATCAAACAAAGACACTATTGGTGTCCTCAGAACAAGGGACTGACCACCCCAGAGTTAGACCTGAACATCAGTGAGTGTGTTTAGAATTATTTGGATTGAAAGAAGTATAAAATGTAACCAACTTCTAAGACTGAACTTTGCAGGCATAAAAAATATCCCTGTAGATTTCTTTGAAAAATTGGAAGCAAGTCTCTCGAACAGAATAGAAGCTGTATTGTAAGCAAAAAATGGACACACTAAATACTGAAAAAATATAGATTAGATAGTTGTTGAAGCTTGTCTGTCATTTTCTGTTAGACTGAAGGTTTTGGCCTTTTTTTCTGAGCTGAAAAAATAATAAATTGTATTTAATGGCTGCTTGACTGGAAATAAAATAAATGAAGGGTGGTTTTATTCTAAGAAATACTATGAGTGCAGTGTAATTTTATATCTGTCTACTCTCTCTCTTTCTCTGTCAGTTAGTGCTGGCCTGATTATAGCGTTACAGAGAGGCTCAGCCATAAGCCTGAGTCAGACAGAAACACTGTGATAGCAGACTGAAATTGGTCCATTCTGTCTGTCTTTAGAAAGCAGTTTGTCTTTTTGTACTTCCTAATGTTTTGTACAAATTGACTGTTAATTTGCTTTTAAATGAACAAATATGCTAGCAGCAACAGGACCCACATTACTCGATTACTTTTTTGTCTTAATCCTTGTTTTCACCCCAAGAAAATCTTTAGACACTTTACATCTTCATTTGACTCTGTACTAATTGGCTGTGAGGAGCAGTACAGCAAAGTGACATAATTTTCTTTCAACTTCTGGATACACCACCATGGTTTACAATTTTGCAATATGGTCTCATTCGGAGGAACTTACAGTTTAATCATGTTATGGGGTAGGTAAAAGTAGCATTAGGAGTCTTGTCCAGAGACTCTTAATGGTATAGCGCAGGGTGCTTGCCTTGGGCAGCTGTACCCACTACGCTATACCAAACATTTGCTAGGCAAACATCAGCATGGCACGCCCACACACCTCCCCACCCCAAAATATTACTCCATTTGTCAAGCTGTTTCTGAAATTTGTACTTATTTTAAACAATTTTACTATGTGAAATTATCTTATTTCACTCTCTGATAGTTTGTAGAATTTTGAGAAAATATGTTTGAAGGAACTAAATTATCTGCCAAAAAATAAACTGTCTTGAAAGTGTTGGAATAGCATTTTCATTTTCTCACAGCTGTCCCATAATGATCAGTTTTAGGTATATTACATACATTTATGGTGCTTTCATTTGCGAAGATCAGATTTTTTGCTGCATTGTTAACCTGACACAGATTTTACCAATCATGCCTGCATGAGTTACATGATCAGATTCATATCTGATTGGTCATCAAAATCTGTTTATAAAGTATGATTATTACATTACATTTCTCAATGTCAAGCACTGCCTCTGCTCCTCCCCAAGCAAGAAAAAATGAGATTCTGGTTTTCTCAGTGTTTATATGCCCAGACCACTCTAAAAATAGTGCTGTTCTGAACCAGTGCCCCTATAAGCAGATGAAGAATCTGTATTGTCGCGCAGTTTCATTGCTGAGTATAAAACATTTCTGTTATTCATTTTATTCCATTAAAGCTTTGTGTTAACCTCTCTAATCTGCACAGTGGTTGCTAACCCAATCCTGATGCTACTTTTCTGCACAGTGTCCTTGTCCACGAGCACATAACAAAGTTACATGTTCAGTAACCCATTTACACACATACTGAAGGTGCACTTCATGGGAAGGAAAGACACAGCTGCTTCCTCACAGACTGTCTCACATTTTCACATATAAGCATATACACACTTCTTCTTATACCTTGTCAGGATGTGGGTTCATATATAGTCAGAGAACATTCTTCATTTATTTATTTCCCATCAAAATGGCTATGAAGAACAAGTTATTTGTTTTTAAGCTTCAGATTTTTAAACAGAAAATTACACAGAACCCTCAACTAAATAAAATATAATATATAGGTTTTTCAGTATTTAGAGCAGGGGTAATTTAATTAAAATTCAGTAAGTTCCAGTTAGAGAAAATGTCCTCAAGCAAAGGTCTGGAACATTCAATGCCATATACTATATACAGAAGTAGCCTAGTAGGTATGTCAGTATCTTATGCAGTCAGCAACTGAATGTCAAATCAAATAAAGTACAATTCAGTCATATTTCAACAATATTTATTGTCAGCTTTCTCTTCTTAGAGCACAGCATGTGAAATAACCTCCCTCTGACCCACTTTCTTCTCCAACTGCTGTGTCTCGCCTCGTCCCTCCCCTGTGTGCGTCACTCACTCGAGTCTCAGCAGATCTGATTGGCTCACGCGTCACGTGTAATATTTACAACGCATGCGATTGGTCTGTGAATTTCCCTGGCCGCTGAAGCGGCACCGTAAAGGCTAGAAAAGCAAAAGCTGATTAAAATAGGACCACTCCTTCGAAATTAAATAATTCTCCATAGTTTATCGGTTATAGGTCCAGGCCCGCATAGGACAGCGTCTGGGTCTGGACTCAAACCGCGGTCCACCTATTAGTGACCTCTGATTTAGAGTGTTCACCATTTGCCTTCTATTCTTTTCAAGTCACTTGTGTTCAGGCTTTCACTATTGATTCCATACCTGCAAAATTCAGTCTTAGAAGTTGGTTGTATTTTCTGCTTCTCCCAATCCAAATAATCCCACACAAATTAATTGTTTTGGAGGTCTGGGCTTTGAGAACACCAGCAGCTTCTTTGTTTGATTTGCAATGCTTTTTTTCTTTCATTTCCTCTTCTCAGTAACTCAGTAAGCTTCTTGATGGCTACACATCCTTTCAGACTCGTAGTGTTTTCTTCTCACAGGGGAAGGTTAGAACAAAACAAATACGGATTTTTCAGATCTGAAGCAAGAATAGAGCTTGATGTTCTCTAAAAGATGAAAGCTTTAAATGCTGTTTATATGATAGTGACAGTTTGGTGGTCTACCGGGTCTTGTGTGGTTGTTAGAAGTCTCATTTTCTTTATATCATTTCATCATTTTTTGAACTCCAGTTTTGAAAACTCCTGTTTTTTCACTTATTTTCCTTTGACTTTTCTCTTTCATATGCAAGTGGATTATCTTGTATCTAATCTCCTCAAAAATATCTCCTGAAAAATGAGTAACTTGTATTTGATAGCTCTTTTGACTGGCAATTAAATAAATGAGGTGTGATCTCTGACTTTTGCACAGTAATGTGTAACTATTATTTTGTTGGTCCTGATATTGTAGGCTAGCCCTGCTTTCCTCTGGTTTTCCTACAAAGTCAGGATATTTTTGTCCTAAAATGTATGAACACACACACACACACATAGCCTAGGGGTGATGAAAGTGGAGCTTTTGCTCACTGAGTGTGTTTGTGTTCTCTCTTTCTCTCTAGGGAGCCAAGAGGACCTGATCCTGTCCTATGAGCCTGTGATTCGGCAAGAGAGTAAGCAATGGCCCTCATTCACCTGCAGTGCAAAACCCACCACCTTGGCATTACACAACAGATTACTTTAACAAGTGTTGTGGTGAAAGATGTTTTTCATTTGTGGCCTCATTGCTAATGCCTTCTCACTCACCACAGCCATGTTCTTCTCTTTCGGTGAAAAACAGTTAACTATGCCAGACCTGTTATTATTCTGGGGCCAATGAAGGACAGGATCAATGACGACCTCATCTCAGAATTCCCTGACAAGTTCGGCTCATGCGTGCCACGTAAGTGCAATGAGCAATTTCACAAAGTACTTCCATTGACTAATCACTGTATATGTGTTTTTGTTTGTTATTATTTTTTCATCTTAAGCTGGCTTCATTGGCAAGTCCTGACTGTACTTGTCCAATGAAATGATGCGTTAATTGTCATTTCTGTGGCCTTATTGTTCAGCAGATGAGTGCTCTCAGTAGAGCTGGTGTTCATTAGACATGGTTTAGGACTGTAAGCCTCTCTGTTGATGGCACTATTGATAACATTGTGCTGCCAGCCTGGTTGAGATGCATGACAGTATGAGTGTGTTTCCTGTTCTCTCTAAGGTGGTCCCATTTGTGTTCACTCCTGCTGTGCAACTTATGCTCTCGTGTTATTTCGACCTCATTTTATTGAAGTCATTCAAGCTCTTATTTCAAGGACTGCTTTTGAACTTCGCTAACAGGGTGGTGCTTGTATGAATCAATCAGTGTATGTTTTTTCTAACATTATTACTGCACCCTTACCTTTAAGCAGTCCTTGGGCTGTTTAGTTATTATTCATCCATCTGTAATGGTTTTGTGTGACTCATTTCCTGGTTTCAGTTTTTGTGGTTGGTACAGTCGGTATTTGGGGGTTTGGCCACAGTTCTTTCAGTCTTTGTCCTCTTTTGTGTGTTTATTATTGTTTGATCCTTTGCATGTATTTGTTTTAATTTAATCATTGTTGTTCATTTTTAAAATCTTTTTAAAAAGCGGATAACAATTCAGGGCAAATGGGTAAGTAAGAAAAGAAGTCATCAATAAACAGGAAGTTTATTGATGAGTATATATAGCATAGGCTTTAACACCCACCCTACAAATGTACTCCCAGATAGACGTGTGAACATAGATTCATGCGCTAGTAATACCACTGAAACTGTTGCTTAGTGACCCACAGTATTAATAGTCACAGTAATATTGTCAGCTAATGTTGAGGGAAAAAAGAACAGTGTTTGCCGATTTAGTAAACACCATGAACTGTGTTAGTTAGCCATGTTAGTTTTAACAGAGATGCTGTTCCTTTAGTGAGTGCTGTCATCAGTTACAAACTTCACCTTAAATGGATTTTGACTTAATCAGTTTAAATAGAACAATGTAATTTCAAAAAATCTAAAATAAAGCCAACATTCTTGTGTAATTTAGATACCACGAGAGCAAAGCGGGATTACGAGGTGGATGGGCGAGATTATCACTTCGTGACCTCGCGGGAGCAGATGGAGAAGGACATCCAAGAGCACAAGTTCATCGAGGCCGGGCAGTACAACGACAACCTGTATGGGACCAGCGTCCAGTCAGTCAAATACGTGGCTGAAAGGGTCAGTTTAACAGAAAAGGAAACTTGCCACACATAAAGGGTCCAGTTTTAATGGTATTTATCCTCAGAATATCATGTCATAAGCATCATAAATTTAGGATTACGGCTGTAAGATGCCCATATAGACTGAATTAATCTGTATGTGTATAATACTAAAACGGAATGTCTCCTGCTTTGATGTCAGTGTGAACGGAAACTGTTACTCATTTCCTTTCCATACCATGACATTTTTTCTGACATGATGTTATTGGTTACTTTTGTTTTTCACTGCTCAATGTGCCTTAGCATATAAAATATTTGCCAACAAAAGTCGTTATATTTTGATGGAAAATTACTGAACAAAAAATTTGTCTTTTCAAATGATATGATGAAACATGCCTAATATGACCAGGGACATGAACTAACAAGGCAAAGAGGGTCAATTTTGAGTATCCCACTCTCAGCCTATCAATTTAACAAAGATTTTGTTTTATTTGTTTGTTTGTTTTTTTTTTTTGCCTTTGCAGGGGAAGCATTGCATACTTGACGTATCTGGAAATGCCATAAAACGACTACAAGTAGCACAACTCTACCCTATTGCCATCTTTATAAAGCCTAGATCCATCGAATCTTTAATGTAAGCACACTTCATGCCTATCTTGTAGTCTTTGCACCTTTTGCACCATTTCCTGTTGGAGGTACCGGTTTAGTAGTTCTGTAGCTCATGATGTGAGACTCTGGATCTTTGTAGGGAGATGAACAAGAGGTTGACGGAGGAGCAGGCCAAGAAAACATTTGACCGTGCCATGAAGCTAGAGCAGGAGTTTGGAGAGTACTTCACAGGTAACTGAGCGTTCTACACTCGCCAAAATGGCTCAGACAGGAGAGGAGCTGCACCTGCCTGCCTTCCAGGCTGCTGGAGAACACCGCATCTGCATATACTAGTGTTCTGTTAACATATGCATGGCCTCAGGGATCAACCAGAGCAGTCTGTTATGCTCTGTACTGATTGACAGCAGAACCGGCGAGCCAGTGGACTCTACAAGACCCACATGGCCGCTGCTGTAGTAGCACATTCATGAATTATGGATCAGTGCAAATGCAGTTACTGTAAGGCCATCTATGGACAACCACACCAGCTAATGATTAATGAGTGCGCTAAGCTGGGGAGGCAGGTGTGCGCTCGGCAACAGATAACGAGTAAGAGTGTTGCTTAGAAACACTGTTTAGTGCTGCATTTTTTAATGAAGGAGAAAGCGTTTTAATAGAAGGGATTTGTATAAAGTCCCCTGTATAAATGATGGGCGTGACACTCACAGTCTGTTAATCTCCAAGATCCCAGTTGGCAGGTAAAATGCATAATCTCCTGTTTGTGCCTTAATTACATAACCATGTTGGATAAAACCATAAAAATATGCTGCTGACGGGTTAATAAAAGTGTCTAACGGACCATTAAGACCTCAAAGTGAACATTATAAAGCCATTGTGAGGTTTTGTTATCTCTTGCAGAGGAAGGTTAATAAAAGCCTGAAGAGTAATGCACTCATGAGCAATTTAATGACTCTTTATTTTGTCTTTCTTTCTTTATTTATTTATTTTCTTTCTTCCTCTCCCTCACAGCACTGGTGCAAGCAGACACTTTGGAGGACATTTATACTCAGTGTAAGATGGTGATAGAGGAGCAGTCTGGACCTTATATCTGGATTCCCTCCAAAGAGAAGCTATAAGGAAGACATTGCCCTGCCAGGGACTTTGGACTGCAAAAAAAACAAAAACAACTACAAAAAAAACACATAGGCATAATTTGTAACATATGATAAATTATTATGGTAATGTTTATTGTTGATAATTATAGTGAAGATTATTTTGTTTGTTTGTTTGTTTGTTTTATCTGTTATGTTACTTTTTTCACTTTCAATATGAATGTTCCTGAATGTACACCACAAAGTGTTGGAAACATTTTTGGCCTCAAAAAAAGGACTGTTTATATATTTATTGGTTATAGTAGTATTTTTAGTTAAGAATTCAAATGCGTTGAGATGAACGTTGGCTATTTTTGTTCACGTTTAATTTTCGGCTGGAATTTTAAAAGGAAGGACATCGCGTGCAGGTCAGGACACAGTAAGATGGATGATTTCTACACCGCTACCACAGCAGCCTCCCAGAGGAGATCTTCATAATGATATCAGCTTTCCCCGCTTCGTGGCCGGCCGCTGCCCTGCAGGTCTGCGTTTCTCTCTCTGCAGCACTCCACATCTTGCCCGCTCTGGGATCTATGCACTCCCCTGGCCCCTTCACACTTCATTTCTCTCCCCTTCTTCCTACATTTCTTTTGTACTTATTTATTTTTGTCGTTGTCAACCACTTTCATTCATTTGAACATCTCCTTGAAGATTTCTAGTTTTAAATTGTTCAATTGTACATGTAGCTACGTTTCTAAATGGAACTTTCAGAACAAGTCAACAGATGCTTTAATTAGTGTAAACTGTAAAAGGGATACAACTAGGTAGGAAATATGACACTATATTTTGCTATTTATATTGATAGAGGGCACAACAGCACAGAAATATTTATAAAAAAAATGTATAACTTTGTTTAAAAAAAGCTACTTTTGGAAAAAAAACATTTTACTGGTGTAAGATACAGTGTTGTGGTAGATGTAGTATTGGTGGGGATGTTGGTAATCCCGTTGCCCCTGGTTTTCAGTAAGGGAATGCATGTGCGTGTTTGAGTGTTTGTGAGGTTGAGTACGGTAGGTAATGCAATGTGGTGACCAATATGTTTTTCTCTTGTCCAAAACCTGAGCCACAATCAACTCATGCAAACAGAACTGCAACAAAGTTCTAGAACGCTCATCTCGAAGTCCAGGCTTTGAGAATTCTAGAGTCTTATGAAAATGTTGTGTGCTTACATTTTGTGGTTTTTGTCTCATCAGTCTATTGGATCATGTATGACAGTGCATTATGGTTATTCTGTATCCACTACGGTATATTATTTGTACCCTAGTTATTGCAGTGAGGTTGTGCTAGTGCACTAGACAGTCTCCACTATAACTGTCTCAAAGTGAAGGCTGCGGGTGAGGTAGGAGAGACCTTCCTAACACTGCTTACTCACACATTTAGGACATCCTGAACAGACTGTACTGACACATCACGGCTTACTGATGTAAACAATGTGACGTTTGAGTCTAACAAAAAAACGTTAAATCAAAAGTCTGGTGCTGCAGCATCTCGCCACTCAGAGCTGCTTCCGTTGTTTCCAAATGTTCTTGCGCCACGTGTGAAGGATTGTAGGTGACTGAAGGTCTTGAAAGATACACCAGCTGCGTCCTTCAATTTCTCACAAATAAAGGATGCACTTCTTGGCTAACGAGAGAGCCCTCAGTGACATGACGGCAGAGAAATGCAGCCTTTTTCAGCTGCATCCTTAGTTGTGAGACACGGATTGTTTTGGTATGTGACTACAAAATAGCTTTCTTCTAAAATAGAGCACTGTATAGTAGGAGTGTAATCATTCACTCAGCCCGTGACTTGATTCAATTCGATTTGATATTCTCACAACAATTTCAGTCAAATTATGTTGTGCAACTTACTGACAACACTAGAGCTGAGAGGCCTGAGTGTTGGAGTGGGTTGTTGAATGGTTGCTGAACTGTTCAAACAGTGCAATTCCTTTAGATGGCATAATTGATAGAATGTCTATTCTCCACAATGCTGTCATAGTTTTTCACAATATACTGTTACACCCCTGCAGTACAGTGTACAGGGCATCGTTTTGGACATGGCGCAGGAGCCCGGGTTGTGCTGCTGCTAAGATAGGACCCATTTAAACACGTCTTCTGCAAAGGGATAAGAGCAAAAACTAAACAAGCAGGGGCTGCAAACTGACTATCCCGCTTTCTTCCGAATGCACACAGACGTTAACACATTTGCAAAGCATGCATGCACTAAATAGATGTACGTAAACTGAATCAGACATGATCATATGCCATGTATTTACTATATACACATAGATAAAAGATGAGCTCATACCCCTCTAATTATTGAAACCCTTGCTAATAAATCTGCTAACATATGTACAAACTTTAAAACCACAAATTCCACAACGGTCTGCAAAGCAGAAAACTGCAGTATTCTTTCCGAGGCCTGTGGTAAGGGGCCTGCTGACGTATTGGTCACCACTTGCCTTACAAAGAATTGAGGTTTCTTTTTTTATATTTGTATATATATACTTGACTGACAACCTCCCACTTTGTGGGTCATTTATAATGTCAGTGCGTGACTGAAGGTGTGAGAATGTAAAGACAGAATGCACAGTCTTGTTTTAATTAATAGAAGTCCATATACATACATAAGCATAACATACACTGGAGAAAGTGGTGTTGAATTCACTTGAATTAAACATGTACATCCTTTCCACATGAATAAAATACATCAACACATTCGTCTTTTGGTTTATTTGCTGTTTGAAAAGTTGTGTTGATGAAATGATATTTTGAATGATGTTTTATTCCTGTGGAAATTCTGTACACATCGAAATCGTGTAAACTCATCGCACTGCTTTTTTCAATGTACGTAACCAGTTGATAATTCGGAAAAGCTAAATGCCATGACCATTTTTCTTCCAAAGAGTAATTTTTCCTCAATGTGCTTGTTATCTGTCGCATATCATTCCTACACTTATCATTGCTCATGATTTTAGGGCCTAAATACACAAAGGAGGCAAAGAAGTGACTTTTGGAGGGGAAAAAAATGCCAGGAGCCTAATTCACTGCAGACTAAGCAATGGTTTGCATGAACAGAATCTACATTTTGGAGTATTAACACAGGTAGAGAGGCATGTGCTTCAGATGGCAGCAGCCAGAACAGCCAATTGTGGGTTCAGTGAAACCAGGCCTTATGATATGGTATTGCAAGCGTTTCACACTGTTGTGTCCCCTTCCATTAAATATTTCACATTAAATTTGCTTAGATCAGCCAGTTTATTTCATTATGTTGCACTAATACTGAGCACACATGCTTTGTGTTGTTAGGAAACATCATCACCTTCCAGATTGTGTGCACTGGAGCGAGGGTCCCTGCAGCGTTATGGTGCTCCCTATACATTGTAGTCCCTTGACAGGAATCAGTATAGTGAAAATGGACAGAAATGGAGTTTTACTCAGGGTTGCCACATAGGGCGCAGGAACAGAAAACCAAACCCCTATTCAGAGGGCAACAGTTTAAAATTCATTTAAAATGGAACTTTGTTTTGATTAAAGAAATGTGAGCTGTTTTCCCCCATTTTTGTTTCTTTTTTATCCATTTGTGATATAAATTATCATTAGCATAAAAGTACTATATGAATAAAATAACTTTTCATTTTCCCCAAACCTAATCGCACTTAATAATGTGCAATGTTGTAAATAAGTTTCGATTGGCACTTTAGTCTGTCAGACAGGAAACAGGCCTGATCTTTTTACTTTAGATCTCATTAAGCAGAAATGCACCTAGAAAACGCTTCCAGTTGACCTTCCTTTCTGACTGTACATACTGTTTGTGTTGCTTCATTCCTTAAGTGTAAATGTTAAAGCACACTTAACACGAGTGGGACTGTACAGTTATCACGAACATCTGTTCTTAAATGAGTAATTTAGTTCTTTTTTATTTTTATTTTCAAAGAAAAAACAATGAAAAAGGAAAAAGAAATGTGTCCTTTTGCATCATGTTACAGTATGTACTCCTGATTGCTTTGAAGAATCACAATTTAAAAAAAAAAACCTTTGCTTTAGGCCTATGTGAAGGACTCCACTCAGCCTCCATCTCTACTAATGTAAATTAAAGCTTTGGTGAGACTTTTCCACACAATCTCTCTGTCTCCTTTGTTTTGCAGCTGGAGTTGGTTTCTTTGTATCTTATTTTTCACTCGCTAGTCATTTGCTGTCCACTCACAGGGTTACAGTTCACTACAATTGGCAGAAAGTGGCAATCACTCTCCATTCAGTTCACCCACAAGTTTAATTGCAGTGAAAGTACATTTCACCACAGTGCAACAGACAACCTCTAAGTAGCCTAAAAACATTAGACACGGTTGGAAAGCAAATGTGCATGTCACACTGGAGCAGGGATGCATTGTGACAGACATTGCTTAGCATATTAGGCTACACAAAAGACTGAAAGATATCAAAGTTATAAAAGATCTAAAAGGGGTTCTGCTATTGTTACGATGTCAAGTTTCTAACAGAAGAAGAACCTTTTTGGTGCTATATAGAAACATTTTCAAAAAGGTTCCATGTAGAACCATGTACAACACGTTCTCTATCAGTCTTAAAGAACCATTTCATCATGCAAAGAACCTGTAATGTAGGGGCTGAAGCAGGTTGCGAATGGAAAGAGGCTTTGTTTGGGGCAGCTCAGTACTCATCCGAGTCCATATGACAGGCAGGGGTCAAAACACAAGCGGGCAATATCAAAGGCAGATCCACTGGCTCAGAACTCAGAACAGCACAGAGACTCTAAACCAAACAAAGGGGTTTACAATAGGGGGATAATGTGTCCAGGATAACTTGCAGGTGTGTAAGTTAGCAGAGCCAGGGAGAGTCCAAGTAGAGCCTCCCCAGAGGGGGGAGACAAGACTATTAAACATGAAAAGGTTCTATGTAGAACTTATGGTTCTAAATAGGATCATTCCTTTTACTAAAAAACGCTTGAAGAACCATCTTTTTAACATTGTAGAGTACTGTCAGAAACAGTCTGAAATACCACTTGTTTGGTGTCGTTTATTTTATTGTAATGACGTACCAAATGCTGAAAAAATATGATTTAGTTGTTAAATATGTTTCCTGTTTTTTTGTGAGACTGAAAAATGACTTGTACTTAAAGGTCATTTTGACTGGAAATGAAATAGTCAAGGGTGGTCTCTGACTCTTGCACAGTACTGTACATGTGACTGAGAAAATGGGATTGTTACTATGAATTCTGACTCACCCAGTAGATCTGGTTACAGTTTTTCTCAGTTGCTTAAACACTTCTGTCTATTCAGAAGCCAGATATTCAGAACAGTTAACACAATACTAAACAGAGGCTTGCTGCACAACACGCTTTTTTTTTGCAAAATGGTCAAGCCTCCACAAAACACTAGACACATAACACAAAAGGAAACTTTTCCCTCAAACACAACCACTGACTATCAGGAAAGACAATTTCTTCAATCACTCACTAAACACTGACCAAAAACCACTAAATACAGGCTTCGCTTTCACAGGCTTCAGCCTTCATTAGTGCTGTATATCAGTATATACATCTGCTAACACCCAGATTTAGAATGTGATAAAGTTTAAGATCACAATGTGGAAACTATTCTTGTCTCTGGGTAGTTTTACTAGAGATTCATTTCAGTTCTCAGAAACATATATTTACTCCCTTTTTCTTTTTTCTATACTCTTGAAACAAAGGTGAGAGACGTGAAGGGCAACACTGTCTAAAATGATACCTGAGTATACATCAGTCAAGGGTTAGACTGCATCAGAGGAAGGCCTTACATACATACAGACCTTACTGAGCTAAAATTAACAGAGAAATTCAAATTATGGCTTGTTTGTGATAAATTGTGGAAGAAGGGTCAAACTCAACACACTGTAGCAGTCAATCTACAACCCTATTTCCAAAAAAGTTGGGATGCTGTGAAAAATGTAAATAAAAAAAAAATGGAATGATGTGCAAATCATTAAACCGTATATTTAATTAAAAATAGTACAAAGACAACAAATCAGATGTTGAAAAGTGATAAATGTAATTGTTTTTTGAAAAATATATTTTGAATTTGATGCCAACAACACTTTCCAAAAAAGTTGGGATGGGGACAACAAAAGGCTGGTAAAGTTGTGTAATGCTAAGAAAAACAGCTGGTCGATTGGGAACAGGTCAGTAACATGATTGGGTATAAAAAAGCATCTCAGAGAGTCTTTCAGAAGTAAAGATGGGGAGGGGTTCACCACTCTGAAAGACTGCACAAGCAAATGGTGCAACAATTCAAGAATAACGTTTCTCAATGTAAAATAGCAAAGAACATTTGCTTTTCATCATCAACGGTACATAATAACATGAAAAGATTGAGAGAATCTGGAGAAATCTCTGTATGCAAGGGACAAGGCCAAAGAACAGTATTTGCTGGCTGTGATCTTTGGGCCCTCAGGAGACACTGCATTAAAAACAGACATGATTCTGTAGTGGAAATCACTGCATGGGCTCAGGATCACTTCTGAAAACCACTGTTTGTGAAAACAGTTTGTCGCTGCATCCACAAATGCAAGTTAAAACTCTAGAACACAAAGAAGAAACCATATATAAACAGGATCCAGAAACTCTGACACCTTCCCAGGGCCTGAGCGCATTTAAAATGGACTGAGGGGAAAGGGAAAAGTGTCCTGTGGACTGACAAATCACACACACACACACACACACACACACACACATCATCATCTAAACCACTTATCCTTCTGGGTCACGGGGGTGCTGGAGCCTATCCCAGCTGTCATTGGGCGGAAGGCAGGATACACCCTGGACAGGTTGCCAGTCCATCACAGGGCAGACAGACAGACAGATACATCCACACACACAATCACACACACATTCACAACTAGGGGCAATTTAGCATGTCCAATCAGCCTAACTGCATGTCTTTGGACTGTGGGAGGAAACCAGAGTACCTGGAGGAAACTCACACAGACACAGGGAGAACATGCAAACTCCACACAGAAAGGACCCTGGTCTCCCGGCCAGGAATCAAACCCAGGCCCTTCTTGCTGCGAGGCAACAGTGCAACCCACTGCATCACCGTGCCGCGATCAACAAATCAACATTTGAAATTCTTTTTGGAAATCATGGACATTGTGTCCACCGGCCTAAGGACCACTCAGCTTGTTATCAGCGTACAGTTCAAAAGCCAGTATTCATGATGGTACAGTGGGGCATTAGTGCACATGGCATGGGTGACGTGCACATCTGTGAAGGTACCATTAATGCTGAATGATATAAACTTGTTTTGGCAACATATGCTGCCATCCAGATGACGTCTTGTTCAGGGAAGGCCTTGATATTTCAGTAAGACAATGCCAAACCACAATCTGCATGTATTACAGCAGCATTGCTCCATATTAAAAGAGTCCAGAGCGCTAAACTGGCCTGCCTGCAGTCCAGAATTGTCACCCACTGAAAACATTTGGTACATTATGAAATGAAAAGTACGACAAATGAGACCCTGAACTGATGAGCAGCTGAAATCCTGTATCAAACAAGAATGGGAAAACATTTCACTTTCAAAACTACAGCAGTGTCTCCTCAGTTCCCAAATGCTTACAGAGTGTGGTTAAAAGAGGAGGTGATGAAACACAGTGGTACACATGCCCCCGTCCCAACCTTTTTGGAATGTGTTGTTGGCATCAAATTCAAAATGGGCGCATATTTTTCAAAAAACATTTAAAATTCTTAGTTTCAACATTTGATATGTTGTCTTTGTAGTATTTTCCTTTAAAAACATGGTTTACATGGTATGCATATCATTGCATTCTATTTTAATTTACAGTCTGCACAGTGTCCCAACTTTTTTGGAAATGAGGTTGTGGAAGTGGTTACATATATAATCTATTATACGTTCATCTACTGACAAACACTACTGACAAGCAGTAGTTGCCTTTCAACACATGGTTATAGTGTCTCTGTTAGAATCGATTGTGTGGTAGCTTCACAATCTCAGTAGGTGTCTTATTTTTAAATCAGCTTTATATAATGAGAGTCATACATATTACCTCATTTCTCATCTGACACTTGTCTCGCTCTTTTGTCTATGCTTACATCAGCAAATGATGTTAGGTTAACAGCTGTGCACTATGTAGTTCACACAGGTACTGAAGTTATTTATAACTATTAGTAGTATTGTGGCGTCTTGCCATTGGCTGTGCTGCAATGGAAGCGTAGGAGGCTCAGATTGTTCATGGGTTTAAGAGTGCATGAGTAAATGGGGGAAAAGAGAGTGGAAGGAAAAGCCAATCTCTTTTGATTAGCTGTTAGCCATTAGCCTATCATGGAGATTAGCAGACTTTTCCGTGTGCACTGCCTGTGGTGCTTCTCGCTCAGCCTGCTGCTTCAGGCAATGCCCTGGTAGGGCAAGTAAGCTGAGTGACTTGTAAGCCAAGAAGCTCTGCAGCGTCTCAGCTAAATCTGACAGTGTGAATGGCTTGTAAAACTAATGTAATTCCAGCAGCGTCTGACAGTTATGGATTAAAGCTCAAGAGCAGGAGACCCGCAAATGAGACAAATGATTTTTTGGCCATTCGGCACCACTGTTGCCCGGTTTAGAGGAGCCGATGTGGGGTTTACATACACTCGCCTTTACCTCGGGAGGGTTGGAAAGCAATATCGACATCTCTATATATTTTAAATTTCTGTTTTCACTACTTCGCCCAATGCTTTTAAATTCAGTAAAAAAACATGGTTCTTATTAAAGAGGAATAAATTATGAATAAAGATGAACAGAAAGATTATTAAAGGTGAACAAATAAGGTTTACTTAAGCATCCAAAATGTTTATTTGAAAAAAATATTCATAAATATACTATAAGGTCATACCAAAACCATGAGTAATCTTATTTATACTGTGATATAATTTTTTGCCCATACTGCCAACCATTCGAGCAAGGCATGATTCTGTGTTCGCTGTAAAGCTAAAGGAAGCACATAAGCTTCCTTTGCTACACTTCCTTTATGGTAAAAAACTAAAGCAAGCAAATTGTTTTAAGAAAAAAAAATTAGGTTTTAAAATCTTTACAAATGTTGCTACAATGTTAACTACAAATTTAAATAAATGTATCAATTGATTTTCATCAAATATCTAGAGACGTCTACATATTGCTGTCACACTGAAGTACATTCAGAAAATGCTTCCTTTTTTAATGAAAATATTGTTATATTATGTTTCAGCAGCAGTGTTACAGAATACTTTACACTGGAAATTCTAAATCTGAAACTTGATAAAATGTTTCAGAATGAAGAATAAGCAGACATGATTCAGATTATCATGTTAGGGACAGACCAGTATTTGTCAATCCTGGCTCTGAAGTGTCTCTGTTTCCCTGCTCTAGCATGTAGTCACCAGCTTTTCTTCTTTAGCTGGAAATGCACAGCTCTATAAAGTGATCATTTACTGAAATTACTATAGTGACATATAAATATGATTCAGCGCAGAAGTCAGAAGTTCGAATGATGTTTAGAAGAGACAGGAGATATATGTGACAGTTCCTCTCTGTTAATTTCAGAATGAGCACACAGATAATTTTAGCAGGCTTTAATACAAATATAAAAATAGATACTTCTTCATTTTCGAACAATGCATGATTCTGTGTTCGCTGTAAAGCTAAAGGAAGCACATAAGCTTCCTTTGCTACACTTCCTTTATGGTAAAAAGCTAAAGCAAGCAAATTGTTTTAAGAAAAAAAAATGGTTTTAAAATCTTTACAAATGCTGCTACAATGTTAACTACAAATTTAGATAAATGCATTAATTGAATTTCACCAAATGTGGTGTTTTGGTTCGGAAGAAAATATCTAGCGACGTCTACATATTGTTGTCACACTTAAGTACATTCAGAAATTTGCCTCATGTTTATGAAAATATCATTTCATAATGAGCCCACATAAACTGCACAGTTTAGTGTTGTCCCTGAACAAACAGCCCAAGTTCAGCTCTTGAAAGGCTTGTTCATAAACAACACTAAACTGTGCAGTGTATGTGGGCTCAAGGATCAGGACTGTATAACACTGAACCAGCAAAACTTCCTCACATTTAGCTTGACTGAAGAATGTAAATAAATAAATATATATATATATATATATATATATATATATATATATACATATATACACACACACACACCGATCAGGCATAACATACTTGTTTCTACGCTCATTGTCCATTTTATCAGCTCCACTTACTATATAGGTGCACTTTGTAGTTCTACAGTTACAGACTGTAGTCCATCTGTTTCTCTGCATACTTTGTTAGCCCCTTTTACCCTGTTCTTCAGTGGTTAGGACCCCCATGGACCCTCAAAGAGCAGGTACAATTTGGGTGGTGGATCATTCTCAGCACTGCAGTAACACTGACATGGTGGTGATGTGTTAGTGTGTGTTGTGCTTGTATGAGTGGATCAGACACAGCAGTGCATAGAAACAAGGAGGTGGTCATAACGTTATGCCTGATCGGTGTATATATATATATATATATAATTGTGTGCAAATGACGTTTTGTTAACATGCACACTTTAATGCACAATTACTGTTTATTTCTTGAATTTAACATAATGGAAAAAATAACATGAAATGTGGCCATTTCTAATATTTTAAACTCAGCAAAAAATGAAAAAAAATGCAATAAAATTAACAAAGAAATGATATTTAACATTTAAGATACTATAATTACTAGATTTTTTAGAAAATCAACAAGACGTGTAATTTGACAGGGGGTGTTCAAACCTTTGTACGAAGGAATGATTTTTCTTTTCTCCTAAAAAGACATGTATACACTCACTGGCCACTATATTAAGTAAACCTACATTGAATAGTTACTTACAGACTGTAGTCCATTTATTTCTTCGCATATTTTGTTAACCCCCATTTTACTCCATCCATCAAAAGGACCCCCCCACAGAACCACCACTGATCATTATGATTTGGGTGGTGGATCATTCTCAGCACTGCAGTGACACTGATGTGGTGGTGGTGTGTTAGTGTGTGTTGCACTGGTACGAGTGGATCAGACACAGCAGTTGGAGGTTTTAAACACTATCTAGTCAGTGTCTACTTGTTGGTTAACCTAGTAAATGTAAAGTCAGACACAATAGCTCATCTGTTGCAGTACAGTTTGTGTTATTCATCTTCTAGTCCATCATTAGTGGACAGTTTCTGAACAGAGGACACTGTCAGCTGGATATTTTTAGGTGGCGGGCTGTGCTCAGCCCAGCAGTGACAGTGAGCTGTTTAAAAACTCCAGCACCACTGCTAATACAAGTTAATACAAGATACAAGTTTTATATACATGCATTGCTGTTGTCAATGTCCATTTTTGTCATTTTTCCTTTTTTTGGCATAATGCATAATATGGATAATACATAGCTTTAGCTTAAAAACTCCAGCCCTTTACGTTGTGTTCAAATTTCTGCAGTGCTGAGACTGAACCAACACCCAAATAATATCTGCTCTGTGGGGGTCCTGACCATTGAAGGGTAAAATGGGTTTAACAAAGTATGCAGAGAAACAGATGGACTGCATTCTGTAATTGTAGAATAACAAAGTGCATCTATATGGTAAGTGGATGATAAAATGGACAATGAGTGTAGAACAAGGTAAATGTACTTAATGAAGCAGCCAGTTGGTGTATATACAACAAGCATTTAATGTCATGTGGAAATCATGCACACATTTGAATCAGGTAAATTCAATGCATCACTTTTTTCAGTGTACAAAGTTCAAAGCATGCATCTGTCTCCCATTATGACACTGTTCAAACCTGCTGCTTTACGTGGTTTGAGGGGGCTGTTTGTTCTCCTCATTGTCTGCAGTGGTGTAGAAGACTTCCATAAAGTCCTCAGCCGGCTGCCTGTTATCCGTGATCTGCTGAGAAGCTTTTGGCTTTGTAAAGTCTGTGTCGACATATGACAAAAAGTCCACCTGCGAAGTATCAGCTTCCTCCTAAAGATGTACACATAAATTCAGTGTTATTTAGACAATGTTGCCAATATGTGTGAATAACACTGAAATAATCTCAACTAGGAGGAAAATTCAATGTAATCTGTTCTTATTTCAAAGTTGTGTTATTTTGATTCTATTACCTTGGGAAGTAGGGGCTCATCACATTCACACTCTGGAAAAAAACAACAAAAAGTGAGATCACTTAAAAAAGGCCAGCTGCACCATCTGCTGTGTTTGATAGGCGAGACAAAAAGTTATTACAAAATTGGTGCAAAAATTTGTCACATAATACAAAATCCTTGTCATACTACTCAGTACACCTTCTGGACATATATTAGTTTGTAGTTAAACAGGAGTTTTAGAATTGTCTCAATCAAAACAAGTGTGTATATACTGTAGCTACAAAAAAATGTGAAAAAAATTACCATAACATTTGACAGTGCAGAATGGAATGGTGCACAAAACCAGGACAACTGTGATGATAAGTCCAGTAAAAGACAGGATCAATGTAGTATATGTATGACTCTTGAATTCACCTAGAACTAAAAAGTAACAAAACATAAAATGTATAATTACTTTGAGTACAGAAAGTGAGAAAATCAAATTAATCCAGTGATCAGGGATTTCAGTCCTTCACATAAGGCTCGTTTTCCAGATGTAAAATGAGTAATGGCAGAGTTGCATGATTGGAATCTGCCAAACTTAGAACCGGCCAAGATGAAAACTGGCTGATATTTGCTCCAAACCTGCAATCAGCCTGTGTATAATTCAAATTTGGACAATCTGTGTTGAAATTTTTGAAATAAACAACATGACTCATTGTGCTAAATAGCCAGTTAACACTCTCTCAATGTAGCACTTTATTTCATTCATTTTATTTGAACAGGCAGCAGAATTTTGCTTTAAAAATTCAAAATGACAGTTTGGTCAACTAAAGAGCAAATAATGTTAGTTTTTAATAATCAGCCATAAAAATGTCATGAAATGGGCAGCTATTAATGGTATGATTTACATCTCAGGACTGAATTCAACTTGAAATGACCACATAGACTCACCCTGTATACATTTACTATCTTTCATTCAATGGCCACTTTATAAGGTGCACTTATCTTATTGCTGTACTATATAGGCGTACAGTTACAGACTGTAGTCCATCAGTTGCTGCCCTGTCCATAAACGGCAAATAAATGTAGACGATGTGTCCCTGTCCATAAACAGGTTTCTGACCTCAGGACCACTTTTAACCACATATTATTTGTGTGGTGGAGCGTTGTCACTGAGACTGATATTGCAGTGGCATGGTAGTGTGTGTGGTGCTGGTAGGGGTGTATCAGGCGTTGGTGTTTTTACACACGTGTATTGGATCATCCAAAAATATCCAGCTATAAGTGTGAAAAAACTGACCACTGATGAAGAGCAAGAGGATGGCTAAGACAAACTGTGTAGCAACAGATGGGATACAGTCTATAACTTCTATAAGTTCAGCCCCAAACAAGGCAGATGTGAAAGTGCCCTAATATCACCTGGTGTGATGTTGACATGTGCCTCTCAAACTCATAACTTGCTTAAAGCATTTTTGTTAAGTCTGATAACGCTGGTGTTAACATCATAGGGCTGAACAGATATTTAGCAGCCGTTAAGTGATCCTAGTATTTCGCACCTGGTGTGATGTTGACATGTGCCTCTGATGATCCAGCTGCATTTGAAACCTGACAGGTGTATGTTCCCCGGTCTGAGGCGTTCAGGCAGGACACACGCATGGTCCGGTTTGTCTCATTGAAGGAGATTCTCTGGTCCTCTGGCAGTGGCAGTCCGTTTCGCAACCAGCGCAGGTTCAGAAACTCTCCTCTCACCTCACACCTCAGGGTCAGAGGGCAGCGAGAAGGGGACACGGCTATCCCTAATACAGCTGGAGGAGCTAAAATAAAAACACAATCAAATAACCATGTTTTACATTAATAACAAACAAGCAGGTCAGTAAAGAAGAGTCACCCAAGAACACAAACACAAGAAGTACATGTGACACGTCACACTCACATAGCACAGATAACGTGATGTTACAGAGCTTCGTGTTTGTACTGTTTAAAATTGTTTTCTCCTCATAAATGCCTTCATCTTCGGCGGTCAGATTAGCCACAATAAGACTCATATTCTTTATATCAAAATAAAATATGCATGGGTTGGTTATGCATGTAGTAATGTTTGGCTTTTCAAATATATATAATAAATGTTTTGATGTTGAATTTCTATATTTTCTCCATTCCACTCGTGTCACATCTTGTTCGTGTCCATGGCATGTGTGGAGCACTGCTCGACCATGTAACACTCCACTCACTGTCTGCCCACCAACCCCTCTACCTGCAAAACAAGGTCAGAAATACCAGCTGCTATTGTATTTTTTTAATGTTGGAAAAAGACAGAAAGGACGAAGAAACAGCAATTAACATACTAAACAACATAAAACACGGATTCTGCTGTATCAGGTGTTTTATCTGGTTTAGACATATAAACGCACAGACTTACCAATAAGAGCACACTGAAGAATAATCAAGATACGAAAATACCCTCCTGGCATTTTAAATATCCTTAAAATAACCTTAAACAGTGCAATGTGTGCAAAACAAACGAGAGAAACAAGAACGGTGTTTGACTTGTGAATGAACCGCTCTTTTGAACAGGCTTTTTTCAGTGACTCGTCCGAACCGATTCACTCCAAATGAATCAAACTTTTTTGTTAGCTACATCTATGCAGCGTAAAATGTTGAATGCTGAATGAATTTAGAATAATAGTTTTTCTAACTATCTTCTGCTTCTACTTTCTGGTCTATGTCTGCGTTTTGTACAGTTTAGCTTCATTAGTGAATAGAGGTAAGTACGTCCTAACACGACTTCAGTTGTGAATCAAGGAATCATTTATTCGCGTGTTCAATTCACTGAAACGGACTGTTAGAAAGAATCGATTCGGCTCTTACAATCTTTCAGACCAGATCAGGGCGTGAAGATGTGTAGTGACAGAAATAGAGCGTCGTTGCCCACCGCTGTGTTCAAAGGGGGATTCCACAGATTTCTCGAAGTGTCTGCATCATTAAATGGTTAAGACGTAGACGAAGTCATTCAAAGAGTGGTTTGATGTGAAATGCTCAGTTCTGGAGAAACTTACCGAGTCAGAATAATTCACAGTGGTGGTGATAGGAACCAGACGTCTAAAGTGATGCCTTTAAAAGCTTCCTCACAGAACGTTGCATGAAGTGATGAATACGCTGTCTAAAGCCTGATGCATTGTTTTACGATACTTTTGAGATAAATTTTGCCCTAAAATGTATTTTTAAAGTCCATTCATGGTGGAGAGGTACATACAGGGGTTGTGAGGCAGAACAGGTTCACTACATATAAAAACTCAAAAGACGTGTAGGTTCTCTGGTCATTTGTGAACATAATAAAAAAATATGTAATGTAGACATTGAGATTTCTGGTTTTCACCACCACTGTAAAGAAACTGAAGCCAGTAAGTTTCTCTAAAATTGAGCATTTCACATCAAACCACTTTGAATGACTTTGTATCAGCAATGCATTATACAGGAATTCCCTTATAACCTGTTGATATTGCTAACTGAAATTTTACATTTTCTTTTTTCCATGTGTTATCTGGGCTTGCCTGAGCACAATTCTGAAGATTTTTTTTTTACATGAACCAAACCATATAACTAAAAGGTGAGTTTTACACACATTACATTAACCCTAGTCCTTCAGTCACACGAGATGACTGACTTTCAACAAAACAGGAGATCCTAATGTAATTGAGAATAAACGTGAAAATGGCATGTAATTTAAAAGACGCAACTGGTACAGTTAGATATCCATATTCAAGTTATCTGACTACACAGAACATCATAACATTGTGCATTAGTGTTTATTATACTGAATGTAGTTGTCAGACATGTGAAAGTGAAGCCTCAGAAACACCATATGCTTTCACACAGCACAAAAGTCAGACAATAAAGGAAACACACTGCTATTAAGAAAATAAATCTTTATTTCTAAATATAACTGAAAATATTACTCTTTAGCTCTGTGTCAGATTCAGCAGCTAGGTTAATACTTGGATAATACATATTTAGAAAAAAACAAAAACAAAAAACACATTGGGCCACCAACCATTCTTAAGAAGTAATTTCTTCCCAAAACCCACTTACACAGTTGTCATGAAGATTCTGACATTCTCCAGTGTTTCCTTATTTGTGATTTTCTCTTAGCTAAGAACAGAATCTACACACACAAGAGGACAAAGGTGAGAACAATTCTGTGGTTTAAGCACACGTCATGAATCTGACATAGACTTTTTATTAGGACTTTTCTCAAGAACATATTAAAGAAAAAACCTAGGAGGATATTGGTGAATAAGGCCCATTCTTCTGAACCAACGACATACACAGTCTATGTGTAACCAAGCTGACACTTAAGTTATTAGAGTGTTCCCTTATGAAAAAAGATCTATAGCAATACTACAGGAATTTTTACAAGATCCCTAAAAGACAATTCCTATAGTTCACTATACAGACGTGTCATAGTTTTTTTAGACAATTTATGGAAATTATAAGAGGCAAAAATATTACAGATTACTATAGAACTATTACAGAGCACAACAGATTTCTTATAGTATTACTACAGATGTGTTTGTAAGGGTGGGATTACATTTTAATATATAACTGAGAATCAGATGAAGTTACATGCAGTTTGTGTCTTTGCTGCTTCGAAAGATATTGTCATTTTACAAAACATACATTAATTTGTAGAGGGACTTTGTCAAATGTCACTAACCACCTGTTAACAGAGGTATGTTCCTAGGAAAATATCAGATGTTTGTCAAAAGAGAGGTGAAAAAATGAGGTTGATGGCACAACAGCAAAGTTTTCACTGGGGAAAAAAAGGGATATCAGAAGGTTGAAAAATTCTACCAATTTAACTTCCACTACAATTTATTCAGTAGCAAATAATTATCAGCCAGAATACAAATGTTTTAGTGTAATGTCAAAAAATTTTCAACCATGTCAACTCCACTAGCATGTAGCAGCTTGCAGTATTTTGTGGTGACAATTTTTTTCTTTAAATACTACTAACCTTCAAAAGGAGCTATTTTTAATTTCACATAAAATGTCCTTCTTCAAGTACACAATATATCCAAATGTATCCAGACATTCCATCTAAATTAGTAAAACCAGCTCCTTTAATTGCTGGCACAGGAGTCCAATAGCACACAATCATCTTGTATAATCTGCATTGAAAAGCAATGCCAATAAAATGGTACTCTCTGAAGCAGTTGAACATAAAGATCACCAAGCCCAACGCCAAATCATCAGCTAGAGGGGTATAAAACTCCCCAGGATTGGGCTGTGGAGCAGTGGAACTGAGTTCTCTGAAGTGATTAAGCACCATCCAACACCTGTGGGATGAGCTGGATCCAAACTGAATCATCCAACATCAACACCTGACCTCACTAATGCTCTTAAGGTTGAATGCAATCAAGTGCTCATAATAGTCTATAATGTAAAGCCTTCTTAGAAGAGCAAAACCTGTTAATGCAGTGAAGAGGGGGGCAAACACCCTATTCATACCCTTGATTGCAGAAGATTTGTTGTTAAGCAGGTGTCTACGAACCTTTGGACGTATAGTGTACATGCTTTAACTACCCAAGCATTCTAGCCCACACAAATGAATACATAATAACATGACATACAAAACCACAGCGTTTTATATTAAGTTAAATTCCTTACCAAAAAACAACCAAAATGTACTTTGTAATAGAATTGCATCAGATTTGTTCATTTTCAAATCATTTTCATTTTTCAAGCATTTTCTGATGGCTTTGGCCTAACACAGGGTATTAGCTGGGTGCCACCTGTACCAGAGTAGTTAACTCACTGCACTAAACTGAGCAGGACGGCAACTGAGTCCATGCGCCTGCTCGAGTGCAGGGATGGCTCTACATCTATACACCACAAGCAGGGCACCAGTTGAACTGGAGTTTTTCCAGCAGGCAAAACATTAAACTGTGCAGAGCAGTGGGCCTCAGAACCAAAACTGGAGGAACATTGAACTAGAGAAGCTACATAAACCTCCTTACACTTGAATTACAATATTCACAGAATACATTACAGACAAAAACTGCATGATTTCCTTTTAAGAGCTTCAGTTCTGCAAATCTGCTGAGATTCTGATGAATCATGCTGAGGTCACTGCAAAACACACCACTAGCTGTAGCTAGATTGCTTAATAGACAGTAAATGTACCATGGGTGCATCAGTCCAGCATTAGAACACAGTGCAGACCTGTTGCTATAGTGGCTCATGTGGGAGTTTGAAGAGGCTGTATGTTCATCTGAAGTTCTGGTATGGTGGAGTAGCCAAAGTCTTCAGAAGGTTGCTCATTATTCACAGCCTGCAGAGCTTTCAGCTTTATGAAGTCTGTGTAGACATATGGCAATGGGTCCACTCTCGGAGTATCAGGGTCTTCCTGCTGAACACACAAGATTCAAAAACAATAAGTGCTCATGACAGTGAAATACTCTTAACTAGGTAGAGCAATTAAAGCAAGATTTAATGTGAACTGTTCAGTGCTCTGAGGTCAAGGTAGTATGATTTTGATTCTATTACCTGCCGAAATACAGGCTCGTCATATATACGCTCTGTAAAAAGCAACACAATGTGAGATCATTTCAAACAAGATAGGTTAATTAGACTACATGATGAGTAGAAATTCTTTAGAAGTCTTCATACCTTCCATTGCGATATCATCTGTTCTTCTTTGACCTAAAAACACATTATGTGAATAGACTGGTCATAATGAAAAGCATGAGTGTGTTTATTTGGGCTGAAAAAAAAAACACGGTTAAGACATGAATTTATTAATAATAAAAGGCTGTCCAAAGAAAAAAAAATGTCCACATTATGATTTTCATCTTTTTCACAATGTATGGACCAGTAGAAACGCTCCTAAATCATTTAGAATAAAATGTCTTTACATTAACTTACATTAAAAGTTAAGACCATTTTTCTTCTCCTGTACAGTTACCATTTTGGACGCAGGACATTCTCTCTCTTTTTTTTTTCTTTTTTTGGACAGTGACAATGTATAAAAAGAAGTACCTCTTCTTCTGTCAGTTGGACCTGTTCTACAGCAGCCTGTCAACAAAGGGGGTCAAGGCAGAAGGATATTAGGAACTTGCACGTAGAAAGTGTGCAAATGAGCAAAATTCACATAAGGGAAAACTGTGTACGTTTCCTTGCCTAAAGAAGGATGATAATTATTATAAAAGTCAAACCTTTCTTCAAAAGTTTTTAGCTGCATCATTAACATCATGACAGATAGGAAAAACATATTACTAAACACGGCACCTTCAAAACTCAGCTCAAACATCAAGTGATATTTTTTTTTATAACTAAATAATATCATTAATCATGTGCTAGCATTAAAAGAGTCCACTAACTTTTCACACTTGATGCTGCATCATCTGTTGTAGGTCACTTTGTGTAAGTCTCACTGTTACATTTCTATGACTCAACTGTGTTTCTTTAAAGGAGTAGTTTACTGAAACATCTAATTTACACTATTTCCTATTTACCCCAAACATAGAGAGTATACTTTTTTTATTTGCAGCAGAGCAGTAAGGCTAATTAAATCGCAATCTATGTCATCCAATGATATTTTGGCTGACACAGACTCCCATTACATTTTAGCTACATTAGCCTCATAGCTCTAGTGAAAATCTAAAGAAGCAAGCTAGAGACACCAAGCATGTCTTGGCCAACTGACTACATTTGGGATAAAGAGAACATTTTGTAAATTCTTCACTTTAAGAAGAATGTAAAAGATTTTAAAGCGTTTAGCTGTTAACATTACCATGGGCAGGAAAGCTCATTAACATGGACAGGAAAAAACAGCTCTATTACTAGACACAGCAGCTTCAAAACACTTCTCAAAACAATTAAATGGCAATTCATATAACTTGCTACATAATACAGTAACTCAATCATACGATCAGTATTTCTCTAGGACATTAATGATGGCATTAACACTAAACAACTGCAATGTGTTAAAATGAACATGTATTTAATATGACTAAAAAAAAACACTTACCATATTTGCAGATGTAGAATAAAATGATGCACAAAGTTAAGATGGCAATAAGTGTGCCTCCAGTACAGTACAGGATCAGTATTGGGTCATACCAACTGTTTACTACAAAGTTCACAAACACAAATCTTATATTACACAATTACTCCAACATGGCGTTTCCTATGCAACCAAATGTATCCTGTGACCAGCGATATGAAAGGATATCATAAAAGATATGTCTTTTATATAGGGCTGGTTTTCTAGATACAAAATAATACAATTCTTTTCCTTTTCAGTGTCACAGTAAAATGCACTATTCCACTTAAAAATAAACAAAAGAAAGAAAGTAACAATTTGGCTGTATTTCTTTTACTAATTTGTTAGTTTGCTCTTATTTATTTATGTATGTATGCCCTGCGATGGACTGGCAACCTGTCCAGGGTGTATCCTGCCTTCCGCCCAATGACAGCTGGGATAGGCTCCAGCACCCCACCGCGACCCAGAAGGATAAGCGGTTTAGATGATGTATGTATGTACATATGTATGTATGTATTTTCCCCCAATTTTCTCGTCTCCAATTCCACCCACTAGTTAGGACTTCCCCAATCACGCGATAATAGCAACCCTAGGAAGGCGAAGGCTAATACAGGCTTCCTCTCAGGCCTGTAAAGTGCCGCCACATCTTTTCGAACTGCCGCTCACGCGACGTTGGACAACCGAACGCGCTCGAAGGAAAGCGCCAACCGCCAGTTCTGTTACACCAGCTAATCCTACCAACTCAGAGAGAGTGAGGTCAATTGGCTCTCTTGGACTCCCGGCCACGGATGGCTGTAGCATCACCAGGGATCGAACTCGTTATCTCCTAATGGGGCTCCCGAGTGGCGCTTAGACGTTTGCTTTTATTTTAAACTCACAACAGGGCGAATATGTATGAGAAAACCCTCTCAGACTCCTAACTTAATTAAAGCATTTTTGTTAAGTTTGATAACGCTGGTGTTAACAACATAGGTCTGAGCAGATCTTTAGCAGCCGTTAACAGATCCTAGTATTTCTCACCTGGTGTGATGTTGACATGTGCCTCTGATGATCCAGCTGCATTTGAAACCTGACAGGTGTATGTTCCCCGGTCTGAGGCGTTCAGGCAGGACACACGCATGGTCCGGTTTGTCTCATTGAAGGAGATTCTCTGGTCCTCTGGCAGTGGCAGTCCGTCCCGCAACCAGCGCAGGTTCAGAAACTCTCCTTTCACCTCACACCTCAGGGTCAGAGGGCAGTGAGAAGTGGACAGGACTATCCCTAATACAGCTGGAGGAGCTAAAATAAAAACACAACCAAATAACCATGTTTTACATTAATAACAAACAAGCAGACCAGTAAAGAAGAGTCACCCAGGAACACAAACACAAGAAGTACATGTGACACGTCACACTCACATAGCACAGATAACGTGATGTTACAGAGCGTCGTGTTTTTACTGTTTATCAATGTTGTCTCTTCATAAATGCCTTCATCTTCTGCGGTCAGATTAGCCACAATAAGACTCATATTCTTTATATCAAAATAAAATATGCATGGGTTGGTTATGCATGTAGTAATGTTTGGCTTTTCAAATATATATAAAAAACGTTTTGATGTTGAATTTCTATATTTTCTCCATTCCACTCGTGTCACATCTTGTTCGTGTCCATGGCATGTGTGGAGCACTGCTCGACCATGTAACACTCCACTCACTGTCTGCCCACCAACCCCTCTACCTGCAAAACAAGGTCAGAAAAAACAGAAATTGCAGCTGGTATTGTTTTTTAAATAATGTAAAAACAGCATGTGTTAAATTAAAAAAAAAACTTTAAAACACATGCATTACTACATACCGCTATTTATCTTCTAGAAGCATAAGAACATGCTTACCAACAAATGGCCACAGAAGAAGCATCAAAATGACAAAGTGTCCTCCTGGCATTGTAAATATAATCCTGAATCATAGGAGTCTTTCTATTCAGCCAAATCCATATCATTAATGAACACTAAGTACCTCAACGGGATCTATTAATCACTATCAAGCCTGTAAAATCTGCTGCATGTGAAGGCAGAGGAGAGAAACTGTCACAATAGGCAAAGAAGTGTGGCTTGAGAGGAAGATCGCAGCCTACAGACGTTTTCGAGCACACATTATGAAAGTGAACTGCTCGGCCTACACCACGTGGTTTCACACAGCGTTTAAGATGAGTCAAGATACAAAGGAAGCGACAGAGTCACCGCTACTGAGGAAATAAATCTTTATTTGTAAATCTTACTGACTCAGGAAACATTACCATTTGGCATAGTGTCATATAACAGCCTGGTTAAGGCTTCCCACGGTTTATGAATAAAAGCACTCTTCTAAATCATCGACATACAAATGAATAGAATAATTTACAAAAAAAAAATCTTTAAAGCTAATTATACATACATTTGCCAGACTGCAGAAAAGTTAAAGTAATGCTGATGTGTTATTAAGGTCATGACCCTTGGAAAAGCACAACAGGATGTTCATGCGTGAGAAAGAGGTAAGGTGCAATAAAATCAATGCTCCATTTTCACATGGGAGTGGTGGGGGTGGATCAGCAGTAAAGAGTTAAGGGCAGTTTTAAAAGGTCCTTGTGGGTGGGGAGTGATTGTGGGGATCACTCTAATGTCAATGTCTCTGCTTCTGCTGTAGCGGTGCGTGGAGCGGATGAAGTGTTGGACTTGTGGCCCTCTGCCAACGCCTTGAAGTGCTAAAGATAGGAAGAGGGGAAAATACTCAGTGATACAATCTAACGAACGCTAATAGAATGTAAGCATTTCATGCACAATTTTCCAACTACATTTAAAAGCTGTTTGAAGTTTCAGAGTAAGGTGAAAGTTTTATATTTTTACTGAAAACCTCTTATCATGCTATGTAAAGCAAGCAGTGCAGCTTGTGTTGAATGTATTCTGCAAAGTTTGAACATCCCAGTCAAATGACGTTTTGTTGATTTTACTAAGTGAAAATAAGTGAACACGTTTATAGGGAACTTAAATGTGGCATACTGTTCTGAAATTTTTAATGCACAATTTCTATTTATTTGTCGAGCTTAACATATTGTAAAAAATAAAACATAAAATGTACCGTAATTTTTGCACACGCAACATTTTATATTTTATTTTTCCCTATTATGTTAAATCCAGCGCATAAACAGTAATTGCACATTAAAATGTGCAGAAGGGTGTTCTCTCTGTAGAGGACGTATTAATTTATTTTCACTTACAACGTGTCTTTTGCCCAGGGGTGCCCAAAATTCTACATACAATTGCATTTTCAAGCATACAAAAACCCAGTGTTTAAATATCAAGCGAAAAAGCACCATTAACTGTAAATTTGAAGCTGTGAGAAGTTCTTCAGATAAAGCTCTGGCATTTAAGACACTGCATCATTGTACTAAATTGTGCATGCCCTGCAAAATTCAAGTACTGAATTCAAGTACCTGAGAGCATAAGTTTATAGGAACTACTCTGAAAAGATGCCAAATTAGATTCCCTTCTTGACCCAAGGTTACTGATACTGGACCACTGTATCCAGGAACTGCAGACATACAAACTGCATCCAGCCTACTCTGCAGATGAACTTCAAATGAGCCATAAAGGCCCTATAATTGATAGGTTTGAAAGATGTTAGAGACAAGAAAAGTTGTCCAGAGAAATGTGTGTAGATTATAAAATACCCAACAGCCCTTATCAAGACTATTATGGAAAGATTTGCACTAAAAAGATCTTATACCTCTGAGGGCAAAACAGCTGTGTACATTTACCACATTGTGAGAGATGGGTAGCATGTAGTTTTATTTACTCAGGTACATATAAGAATATTTTTAATGTCTTTGTACATTTCTGTGTATTTTGAAATAATACAGGGAGATTCACTCGAAAGAGGCCCCGAATATTCTGCTGTAATACCCGTTAGGATGAAGCAATCTGAACCAAGAAAATACACTACATATCTTGATGTATGTGTAATTGACTGCATTACATGCGATGCTGGATGTGATCTCCGTTTTCTGCCAGACACATGAAGTGGTACAGGGGTGTGCACCCGGAAGCTGCAAACGGAGGTTAAATATCGCGATGGCTGTCCGGCGCCTACTTCATCGCTCCGACGCAGGGGCATCCCGGCTTGTTGGAAGCTCCATATACTGAGGAGCGCATTGCACATTGTTTGGTTAAGATTGCTTCATCCTAGAGAGAGTTATTACAGAATATTTGGGGCCTCTTTCGAGTGAATCTCCCTGTACTTCTACTTGTAATCACATTTTTACTCAGCTTCATGTTAAATATTTGCATTTATTTCCTAAATCCTTTCTCTTCATTTCTGTCCGTTTCTTTTGAGGCAGCAACGTCTGTGTTGCTTAAAAATTAGGAACTTTTCATTTACTCAGATCACAACAGTCACTAAAAAGAGAAGTATGGTGCCTCCCAAGCTTCAGGTTTTATACCAATAAATGCTGGATGTACTAAAAGTTCCACTGCAGTTCTCAGCACTTAATTTGTTTTTTTGACCTGTTCCTTTTTAACTACTACACAAACTGGTCTTTGGTAGCTACCTTTACTTCTGCTTGATCATAATTTAACTTCAAGCACTTTTGTTTATCAAGTTCTTTGCAACTGTAATGGCCCACAGCTGCCACCAGCTGGACAGGAAGATAAACCAGTTTTGTCTTAAAACTTAATCAATGACTAAAATCTTGTTGTTAATGCAAGCTCTGCCTCTCATGCTTCTCATGCCACAGTAAGAGGCCCATCATAGGTGTGTGAGATAACCCTTTTATAAAGATCAGCCCTTTGTGGACTTACAACCATTGAGGTTGTTTAGGTTTGGCAGTATGTTGAGGAACCTTGCAGCCAAGTACAACAGAAAAAATGCTAACAAATAAAAATAATAAACAGAGAAGGTTGATATAAGATCTCGGAATTAATGAAATAAATGCCATTACATGAAGATTGGCAGCAACTACTTTTGACTGTCTACCAAAACCTGTTTAAATTCTGATACATGAATCCAAATAAATTCAAAACCTGCTTACAAATGTCATTCATCTTCAGCTAAATATACGAGAGAGAGAAAACTGAGAAGACCAGTACTGTTTTTTAAAACACTAACCTGGGAATTTTTAAATTCAGAATAGAGTGTGAATAGGACATGGAGAGACTGGATTCGGTTCTTATACACGGGGATGTCCAGGATACCTGTAGAAATCAATCTCATTTGATTTAGCAGTAAAATACAAACATTTTTCTATGAAATCTAAAAAACAGATAATGTAAAAATCCAAAAAATTGACTTCAGCTCACCACATATTATGTCAATATATTCTGCTAAGCCACAGTTAATATCTGCTGTAGGAAGGTTCACCTGGGATAAAGAAAGAAAAAAACAAGCTGTGCAGACAGTCAGATATAGATCTACAGCAAACTTGTGCACTGTCATGTTACTGAGTTAATGTACTGAGAACAGGCAGCACAATCTGTAAACATGTAGTAGGCTTGTCAAGAACTGAAAACATGTCAAAAATGAAGAACAAATAACATTCCATGACTATAACAATATAACCATCATATAAATATTCAGAATATTGTATTAAGAATATTTTATTCACTCAAGCACAAGCCAATTTTCCAGTACCTCACCAGTCAATATTTCAACACTGACCTTGCCCAAAAGCTCCTCAAACTCAGGTGGCCACTCCTGCATCAGGGTATCGATGTCTGGCATGGGTCTGAGGTAGACAAACATAAATTCAGATGATGGACATAATTTCTCTCTACTTGTGCTGCAGTTAGAAAAGTGGTTTATGTTTGAAGAATGGGTGAGGACACAGTGTGTTTACAGCTGTGCTTGTATGGTACAGTGTACAGCATGTGTTTGTGTGCCTGGTGAAATGAATAAGGGTGTATTTCAGTGTGTGCTGTAGTTCACAGTGCACGCACTGTGTGTAAGTGTTTGTGCTTGCCTGGTGTAGTGTACAGTAGCTGGTGGTTTCGAGCGGTGTAGTTCACTTATGCTCTCTATCCAGTTGTCTATGGCTTTGGGGTTCTTCTGTGGGTTCTCAATACTCTTTACTTTCACCTCCTACAAAGTACAGAGACAGACATGCTGGATGTACTAAAAATTCTAGACCGCTCTCAACTCAGTAGCCCACACCTGATGTATGTTTTTATTGGTTCCCATCAAAAAGTCAAGCTCCTCTTCAACCCAGTCTGACAAAAATGATGTTGAAGTATTCAGCAGTTTTATCAGCAAAACAGGAGAGATGACAACAGACCAACAATAAGGTGAGACAGCAGAATTACTGGCATGTGACAAAGTCTGTATAAATCCAATTTATTCACACTCTATTTAATACTTGAACTAAAGTGGCTCTCATATGAGCTGTAGGTCTACTCTATGTAAATGTTTAACAGCTTTTTGGGTTTACGCGTAACAGACTCAACAGCATTTTCCATCTATGCACACATAGCAGCTTTGACAAATGGAGTTGGTATCTCAAAACGTTTTATGTAACCATTATAATTTACCCAGCAGCACAAAAACTCTTTTTAGTCACCAATTTTCCATAAAAAAAGCAGCTACATTTTTCATTATACTGGTGGAGTAGCTGAAATAGTGCCAAGTTAAAAAATTCACGTCTACATCCAGATATAACTAGAACTGGGCAAATATTCATTGGCTTTAAGCATGTAGCACCCAAAAAGCTGGTTAAAATTTGAACTGAGCACCATCTGTCCATCAATAAATGAACTGCAATTTCAATATGTGGAAAGAATTATAACTAACTTCTTTCAACCCCAAAATACAGTGTTTGCATAGGCCATTGTATTTAAACAGTACACAGGGTAAGGTTCATGGCTATCCCCATGTCCATGACTGCATTTTATACACTTAAGAGTAATACTGCATATATGTGTGAGCACTTACAGTAACGTTGTGCTGTTTGCTGTTCTCTGAGAGCCACAGGGAGAGCACCGTAGGGTCAGACTGCTTAGCACAGGGTTCATCCAGCACCAGCAGCCCCAGACCATCTGCCTTCCCATCCGGCCGAGGAACCTGGTTATCACAGAAAAGTTTGTAACAGCAAACCACATGAACTGGAGATAATAAACAAATCAAAGCCTAATAAACAGATCAAGGCACAGCTAATAACGGTCCAAAATGACTCTGCATAAGCAGCTCTGCTGTTGTACTGATACAATGCAACTTTATATCTGTTTTGGAAGTGTCTTGCTTTCAGGAGTGTTTGTTTCATGTTTCAATACTGAGTCATAAATTATGGGTATGTCCCTATTCTTGTTCTATATCATGGTAATTCTACATAGCGATGCACATACAACTTTTTTCTCTGCTGATACTGATACCTAAACACAGGATATTGGCTGATACTGAGTATGGATGATTTTTTTCTTCTTCAATTTTAAAATCTGTATAGCTCTTATGTGTGAAAAATTTATTCCAAAACATAATATGTATTTTAAGAAATTTTGGTAATTAAGCATTTTTAAAAAGAGGCGCACTGGGCAAGTACAGTACTGTGCAAAAGTATTCAGCACCTAATAAACAACTTACAGATAAATGTTCAGGTGCCCAAACCTTACTCACAATAATGTATTTCATATTTAACTATATTCTTCTAATTTATTTTAGAACATCAAAGTCTAACTGATCACTGTAGGCACTTTATCTATGACTTTATAATCTCAAAATCACATAAATATCTACTAACAAATAATTACTACTGAAATTTGTAGCCTACATTAAACTGACAAAAATGTCCAGCAAGGTTTTTATTCAAACACACCCACTAAACCTGGCAACTAACAGATGAAGTGAATCAGGTGTGTTTGAGCAACAAAATCACCAGGACCGGAGTTGTGCACCCCTGGTACAGACAGCGGATCGGTCATGTCTGGCTGACAACTAATCTGTTAAATAATGTCAATTTTGGAGCCCATATCAGTTCTAATTCTACACTTGCTACACCTTCTCCAAACTTAGGATAGCACAAACATATATAATGTGGCAAATATGCAAGGCAAGAACCTGTAATTACTACTGATTTGTCACTATGTTCAGTTACATAATATAAAAAAAGTACATTTGCAGAAACATGGTATAGTTAATATGACTGGACTCACTTTAAGGAAAGCATCAATGTCCCCTACAGCTGGGATGAAGTCAGGAATAAAAGGCTTCAGCTTATGGTCCAATTCTATAGTCTGTGGTGTGTATCTGAAAGCAAAAGCCATTCACATCCTGACCAGTACTTATGGAGAAGACCGTGAGAAGACAGAGGAAAATTGTTGCACATGTATTTGCATTTGAGATATAAATCAGATGTGAGAAATGTCTGTGGTTTATGCGGGTTTGTTTATGAAAGTACAAGCTGCTCACCGTGTGATGTACTGGAAAAGTTCTTTTATTTCTGCTGTAACACGAAGATGGTCATAATCTGCCGGGTCATATGCTCTGTGAGCAAACAAAGACACATACATACTTATCAGGACAAGCACTATCAACGAGGTCCACCTCAGCCCTCCACCCTATTCACTGAAATCAGGTCATGCAAGGCTAAGTTTGAAATCACTTGCCATATAAACAATTCTTGTCATATAAAATAGAAAATGTGGATTTAAATATTACAAACTATTCACCAAAAGGGTTTATAATCTTTTATTCAATATTATAAACCATATATGAACAAGAACGCATTAAATGCTAATAAGTAAAAAATGTACAGTAACTATCTATTTTCATTGACTGTGAAGTCACCTTTGAAGTATAATTTTAAACATATGTTTTTTTATTATTATTATTTAATTATTAAATATTAATTTTTAAAAATGACTTTTTTGTAACTTAATTCTCAATATTACACAGCTTTCTGTGCATTTTCTTCTACAACCCTGTTCATCATTCTGGACTCATCTAATGTTTCCTAATTTTAGTTAACATTTTTCTAGTGTCTTCCTAATTATGTGAAACCAGTGAAGCTGCACATGACTAACATAAAACTGATTCATACATTTATCTGCAACCAAATTGGTTTTATATTATAAAAACACTGATTCTAAACTTTTGAACAGCAATTAACACTTTTGAAAACTTTTCTGCCATTTAGCTTACACGTTTATCTGCATAACATGTTCTAGCTTATTCCTGTGAAATGTGTGAAACCGACAGTCAGTCTTGACAAAGCTAAAAGGGTGAATCACAGCGGAAAGAGCTCTGAGATAACATCTCATTTTTTTCCTTTAGTAGTATCTGTTAGCCTGTGTTAGACTGTGTGTCTCCACGTTCAGAAGAATTACATTCGTGGCACCTTGAGTGACTTTAATACATTATCTTCATACTGTATGTTTTTTCTATTCTAAAAAATAATAAATCAAATAAGTAAAGTTTAGCAAGTGCCTGAAGGAAAAGCTTTGTGCATGCAGATTCGTTGGTTTGCTGGATTGGTCTGAATTTCATCCAAGTTGGCAAACTGTTGACAAAAAGCTAAGAAACCCTTACCCCACGGTGATTCACCCTACCCAGGTAATTCAGTTGAGCACACAAAGCATTTTCAAAATTAAGTGCTGGTCTAAATCAGATGAAGTTAGCTAATAAACTGTAAACTGAAACTAATGTGAGATAACTAATGATTCAAAATCCTCTCACAATTTGTCCACATGCACAGATGTCTATGCTACATGCTTAGACAAAGACTAATACTTATTAGTATTAGTGTCAGCTTTATTTCAAAAAGAGAAAGGTCGATCATGTATTTACATCATCATGACCTAGAGGTTTGTTCCTACCCTTCAGGAGCTGATCCTGGCTCCCCTTCCTCTTCATCTGACTCTGTTTCATCTGAGTCATCATCATCATCATCTTCTTCCTCCTCCTCTTCCTCATTATTTGCACTAGCTCCTCGTGGACTCGCTGGTGGCTCCTTTTTTTTCTGCAAACGACCAAGTCAATAAATTTTAACAAAATCTTTTGGACCAAAATCAATGCCTAAGACCAATACAAAATTTCTGCAAAATTTGTGTGTGTTTTGATGTGAAATTGTGCATTGTAGACAAACTTACTGACATTTTTTTATTACAACAGGGCTGAGAAGAACCAAGGAGTTTTTATATGCAATGCTGATAATGGTAAAAGAGTGGTACACTTGAAAAAATGTTTTCTTTAGGTACTGTTTTTCCTTACATCACCGTACATGCACATCTCTGCTGCAAATGGACTTAAAAAAATACAATTTGACAAAAACTATATCATTAAAAAAATATCTTATGTGAAACATCTCTGACAGGCATTAAACTCTGGTTCTTGTCACCACCCCTGCAAACATTTCAAAATCTGTAAGTTTCTCTAGAAATAAGAATTTCACATGAAACCTCTCAGAATTTCTTTTTTTATTGTCTTAATTGTTTAGTTTTGCTGATCTTTTCAAACTATTTAAACCCCTTTCAATCAGACTTCTGATTGCAAATGAAGCATCTACCTTTGTGTCTTCTTCATATTCATCGCTGCTGTTATTGGCCATGTTATTCAGTTGTTGTCTGCTCCTGAAGACTGAAATCACAAGACTACATTTTAGCCCTGTCAAACGGTAACAAAATGTTGTAAAATAGTAAAAGCAGCCAGGTGTCACCTGTTTGACGTGGTGTTGGTGTGTACAAACTGGCGACCTCTTCGGAATCGTTGACATCCAGTGTCTCGTCGAATGGCTGATTGTTTATGAGCTGAGTCTGAAAACAAGTGAGATGTACGTTGTCAAGGAGAAATGAACTTTGCAAGCTATCTAAAATACCAGTTCTCACCTCACTCAAATAGAAACAAACTAGTCAGGCAGAAGTAACATTAACAGTATATTGCGTGCGTTGCGGTGAATGTTTACTTTGTCAGACCGAAAACAGCTGCTATTAGTCAGACGAGTGGCAAAAACGTTAAACTATTATTATTACACTTGTTTTCGACACCTTTTCTCTTAAACGCTCAGTCGGAGCAGGGCCGCTCTGGACCTAAATTAGACGCATAGATTGATAATTATACTGCTAAAAACTAAGGTCTTAAGTATACACTGTTCATCCAATAAATCCGTTTTCAGTGATTTCACTGTTTACATTAGCTAGGTTAACTAGTTCACAGTCAATATTAATAACAATCGATTAGCTGTTAGCGCAGCTGGCAAGCTAACTATGCTAGTCTCGCAAACACGAAATATAAATAGACGTGGACTAGTTAGCTAAATTATTTCTTTAACAGGTAACTCATATAAAATCAGTACAGCACGGAGCAAAGTTAAAAATAATTTTAATATAAGAAACTTTGTAAAAATTCGCGCTAATGGTAGCTAAGAATGTACCTTGTGTCGCTCAAACCTCTCCATGTAAGCAGGCGCTGTGCTGTAACCCAGGGAGACCGATCCCGCGATACTTCAGATGAGACCAGGGTTAAATCCCAAACTGACTAAGTCCTCCATTTCCGTGCACTGCATGACTGATGCAGTCCACTAGATAGGGAATAGGGAGGCATTTGAGATGCAGCCTCGGTAACTAGGTGCCGGTTGTGGGCTGTTACGTAAATGATTTGTAGATAAATTAATCCACTAATGGTTATCCAAGGCATTCAAAACGTGGTAAGACTGTGGCATTTTTCCTTAAAGGGAAATTCTACTGATTTTTTCAAAAGTTTTCTATAATTAAATGGTTATTCAGAGTGGTTTAATGCGAAAGGCTCCATTCTCAAGAAACGTACCTTGTCAGAGTTGTTCACAATGGTGGTGATAGGAACCAGACGTCTGAAGAGTTTAATGCTTCCGAAAAGCTCCCTCACATGGTTATTACATAAAATGGTTAATATGCTGCTTTTTTAATGTATTTATGGCAAAGGCATACATACAGGGCATTGCAAGACAATATAGCTCCCATTGAAAGCCTTTTTTCCTAGATGTATAACTATTTTATAATTAACATATATGAAAACTGAGAAGATGTGTAGATATATCAAGTCATTTTGGATATGAAATAAAATTCCTGTATTCGGATTGTAGACATTGCGATCCCTGGTTCCTGTCACTATCACCGTAAAGAATGCTGGGAATAGTAAGTTTCTCTACAATGAACCATTTCACACCAAACCACTCTGAATTATTTCGTTCACATCTCAACCACTGAATTTTGCAGAAACTTTGGAAATTTTGTGGAATTCCCCTTGCATCCACTAAATTTTGTTGTTAGACAAGAAGGGGTTAACTGACAAATATCCCTTTATTGTTTATTGTGTTGTTGTTCTTTATTATTATGCTGTTAGTGTGACAATGACAAATTTCACAGAGAGAGTACTGAGCACAGTAGTGGACTTAACATGCACAACATCCACATCAATTAACATGTTTATGTTAATGCTGTTAATTTAAAAAGATGTTACACGTTTCTTTATATTCATTAGATGGACTGTAGGCAGTGGCTGCTGAATGTTCATTCACAGCCTAATTGAGTCCACAGTATTACAGATAATCAGATGCCAATATATTAGTCATTTCAAACTGCCAAAGAAAAGCATACAAGAAGCTACATTCATACACTAGTTATGTTCACAGCCCACATACAAAAGGTCCAGCTGGGGCTTCCAAGCCATTTGCTCCAAATCTTCTTTAACATCCTTTTCAGCGACGGAGATGTTTCTGCATCAATTGGGCCCATTTTTAAGACACATAAGACACGGCTGAAAGGTTTAACCTTTGTTTGGAGAATTAGCTCGCTGACTTATAAGGGACAAGACCAAATATGCAACAAGCATCTCAGAATAGGATGCAGTTTTGGCTCCTTCTTGCAATAAAATCAACAGAACATGAATGACAAAAAACTGATCCTAGCGCAGATTTTAGCTCTTTAAGAAGCTTGATCTCAATCAGGGCCTGTTTCTCAGACATTTCTCTTGGTGTGAATGAGAAGATCTCTCTGCAGATCAGCTTCCAAACTGCCAGGGCCAGCCTTGCCACCTGGAGGATCTGTTATCAGAGTCAGTTTATTGAACACGCCACGGCCGAAGTAATCCGCCACCACAGAGAAGCCATCGTTAGAACTCCTCAGCTGTAAAAGACAGAATTACATATTAATAATTACAGGCAGTTTGACTGCATCTTAGCATCAGTAAGCAATGCTTAATTTACAGTAAGTCAAAGAGGTGAGTATTAACTACTTCTAACTAACTATCAAGTAAAATGTTTTCATTTTTCAAATGATAATACCTTAACATGTTCTCAAAAATACAAATATTAAGCCTACTTTTGTCACTTCAGCCATTCATATAGTTACTAATCCTTTTTTGGGCTCTAATTTCATTCTGTTCATTTGGTTCAGCACCTGGACTCCTTAGCTAATGCTAAAACTTCATTTTTGAGCTTTAGCATTTTATTTTAGACCAAAATGATCCCAAAAGAGAAGAGCGGAGACAAGCAAACTTCAGTTAACTTCAGTGAAGTACCTTTTTTTTTTACTTCAGCAACAGGGGATTCATTTTGAGACCTAGTAACAGTAAGGGTATGAAACGTGTGTGGTAAGTGATGAATGGTTGTGTGTAACAGAAATGCCTTGTCTGCTGTACCTGTCTATTGAAATGATCATGAAGGTCTCGTTTCTGGTCTTGTGCACGCAGCATGTCCATCACCTTCCTGTTCTCGGGTGTGCAGGTGGGGCACTCTGCCTCACTCTCAGCGTAGCTCTCGAAACAGTGCTGATGGAAAGAGTGGCCACACAGGAAATGCACCGACGGCAATTCCAGAGGGCTATTGCACATGCTACACTTTGTCTTCTGGAAAATCTTTGCACTGTGGGGGGGGGAAATAGGGAGGAGGGAAACTTTCGATAGTCATTTTGTAAGTGAGTTATACAATCCTCATTAAAAGACACACAAAGTTCACTTACTCCTACATGATTAAAGTAGGAGTTTAAGAGCAGCATTGTCACAGGCAAGATCATAATGATATATGAAGTCAAAAAGTTGTGAACAGACATTTCTCTACAATCCCGCTGAATGCTGTCATACACTTCAGTTAAGGGAGTGCAGTAAAGGTGCATGAGGAACAAGCTGTGCGTGTTCTAAAGCTGGCTGTACAGGGTTTCTGTCCCTTGTTAGTTCGTTGTGGTATTTCAACTTCATTTATAATGGCTTGCCTTCAGAAAACACCAACACTGTGGGCATGGCAAACTATGACTCAGCAGAGTGCATGCGTGGGGATTACATACATCTTCAGCGATGCAAGTGGTGTGTTTGTTTCAGCTTAGGAAAGGCCCAATTTTAAGTCTTTATTAGCTGACAATGGTTTTGCAAGAAATTCAAATCAAAAACCGATATCATCAGAGAGACGCTGAAGCTAAAAACAGTGAGAAGCCCATGTTAGAACAGGAGTTACACAAGTAATCTCCCATATCAGAAACAATAAGCAAAATAATCTGTAAATGTAAGTACACTATAGACAAACAACATGCATTGCTGAGGCATCTCCAGTAATACACAGAATACAGGCCAGAAATGGTTATTATAAAGCTTATTTCAAAGAACCTAATAGGTATTGTTAATTATTTCACATGGAAGCAGCAAAGACAAAGACTATCTAGCATCCAATTTAAACATTCCCTCATTGTGACAGAGCAGTGCATCAGATGCTTATTCCGCTCTGTCGCATACTTTTATTTACTTTTAATTAAACCACATTCTTATTTCTTTTCTAAAGTGTTTTATGAGCCTGCTCATAAGATCCCTTCATAGCAAAATTATGAATACAAGATCCTAGTGCCTATGTGTAACAGTAAGTAACAGAGAAAACTCTACTGCTGTTTTTTAAGCTAAATTACTAATACTACCTTACTGAAAGTAAGCATTCAGCAGTGAACTCGATAAGATGAATTAAAGTACAGTGTAAGATCTGAATGCTTTTGGCAGAATATGGCAGTATTAAAGCAGGAAATAAAGACATTACTGACCTGCCCCCTGTCCATACACAGTTAAAGGACACAAAGAGGAGGTGCATTTTTTTTGCTTTATGCCAATGTATTTTTGGCTGCTGCTATCATCTTTCTGTGTTCCTTCCTTCTCATCTCATCTTTATTTTTTCACCCCTATCATCTATCTGCTGTCACTATTCCAGGTTGAAAACCTTTCTGTTTTTGCTTTGTACTTACATTGTGATAAAAATCTTAATTAAAATATCCTTAAAAAGAATCAGCACAACTACAGGTGAACAGCGAGGTTTTTTGCCGCTTTACTCCCTCCAAGACCCTTCAATGGAGATACCTGGTGCGGAGCTCCTGGATCTCCGAGCGTAGGTGTGCCGTCTCCTCACGGTACTGCCGGATCTTCCGCTCATCTTCCTCAATCTGCTGGCTCTCCCTCTGCAGCTTATTAATCAAGTAATCTTTGATCACTGAGAGCGTTGCTGTAGAGTTGTGGGCCAGCGTCTGAACCACTGCAACATAACCACGAAGATATTTGCACCTGTTTTAATCTGTTTAAAAACTTTAAGCAGAATTTAGTAATGTATGTAGTGCTTGGAAATGAAATGACACAGTAGTCTACAAGCTGGAAAATGGCTCTTTTATACAGTTGCAGACACTTCCTGAATACCTCCTACCTTAATATTGCTTGGTACATGGATCTAGTTGCATGTAAAAGTTTGAATACCCCTAGTCAAACTGCATGTTTTGTTGATTTTCTGATTGAAAATAAGTTAACACATCCTCTGTCAGGAACAAACTTAAACATGGCATTTGTTTGCATATTGTGCACAATTTAACATACTGGAAAAAGTTCAACATATTGATTAAAACAAAATATAAAATGTGCCATAACTTCTGCACCTGCCATATTTTATTTATTTATTTTTTTTACATGTTAAATTCAGCAAATAAACAGTAATTGTGCATTAAAATGTGTAGAAGCGTGTTTTCCGTAGAGGATGTGTTAACTTATTTTGACTCAGAAAATCAACAAAACATGGAACTTGACTAGGGTGCCCAAACTTTTGCATTAGCCTGTACTAGCAAATGCAAACATTTGATTAGTTATTCTCAACCACAGAACGTATATACAGAAGAAATGAGACAGTGGAACAGCACAGCATAACTATAGTAAGGAAACATAGGAACGTTTTACCAGAATAAATGACTCAGTAAAGCATTTATGAAAAAACAGGGCACACACTGCTAAGTTTAAAGTAACACTGCATGCAAAGTAACATCTAGACGTGTGAAAACATAACCAAGGTGAGGAAAGTACAACCACAAGTCACTGAGGAGCAAGAAATGGCATTTGTATTTCTTCATGCAAAACACTTGCAACATACCCAGAAGAGGTGGCATGAGGTTGTTCTGGTCTATGTGCTGCAAAACCTCACTAATGTAAGCTTTGCAGTCTTCTTCTTTGCGTGCGAAGTAGCCCAGAGCCTGCTCC